GATGGTGACAGAGCTGGTGAGTGAGCCCAAGTATGTGGGGTCGTAGCAGGTGTCATCCTGGATGGCTTGTCGGGTTTCAAGCCTCTCGCCATTGCAGTCGAAGCCGGCATAGAATGTCAGGCGATACGCACTGCTTAGCGGTAATATGGCCGCGAGGAGCGTTGCTGCGTGAACCATGGTGAATAGGTTGCGAAGTACTTTTTGAACCGAGGCGGCGACTTTGACGCGAGAGTGAATGCGCTGAAGAATAATGAGCTGTTTGCCGGAGACGTACTCGTCTTTTATGTCTCCCGTCTCTTGCCTGCTTGCGATGTACCCCCCTCGACACTACACCAGCTAACATACATCCGCTTGGTACACACATGTATTCGGAAACACTGTGTTGGTTTAGGCCTCCAATTACCACCCCCTGGAAGCGCACGCAGGACTTCGGAATGACATTCAGTGGGTCAGTGGATAATTAGAGAAAAGAGGTGGTCTGGCAACGGGGTACTCGTGCGGTCGACTTCCAAAACGTACTCAGCATCTCCAGTTCAACAGCTCTTAGGTGTAAAAGCTCAGGATTACAGCTCGTTGATCGCTTCAGCTCGTTGCTCCTGAACGCGATGTACCCGAAAGAGCCCTCGTTCAGGCCCACGAACGTTGCTGTAGCGTCCTGGTGTCGTAGTCAAACATGACCGGAAGTCTGTAAGCGTTGGACAGGAACTGACGTGCTCGAGAAGGGCCACTGATTGACTAGGCGGTCCATCACACGCCTAGAAAAAGTTGGTTCTGTGCGAGCAGCATTAGGCGATTGCAGAGTTTTGCGTACCAAGAGGACACTAAGTACCCCGAGTACATTATTGATGGAGATGCGTTCATCGCTGCCGACAAATTGCAAGAAGCGCGATCGTCAAGGGTGGTTTTCTCTGTCCACCACGGTATATTACAGAGAAACGTCAGATTCGAAAGCAAAAGTAGCCCGTTCCTCGGAATTGGCGTCCAGATGGTCTCTCGCCCTTGTTGGCTGGGTCACTTTACGATGGGTGCTTCGCGCACGAGACTAGAGTAACGTGATGGTTCCGTGGCCGAACATCAAACACTCTCCAATTCCCTCATGGACGCTCAGACTTCGACCGAGAGTAGCCCCGCATCGATCTATCGGTAGCCACAGGTACGCTCCGTTCCTTCGCTTGCTTGACATGGCGGCCTTATCCTTTGATGGTCGCCTAACGGACCGACCAATCGAATCCATCTTGGCATGTGGGTATCCAACAATTGCGTCCTGTTGGAATGCGGATTGCAATCGTTGTAATGGGAAAGCACTTGGACCTGCAGATCAATTCCAGATCTGGGAGGCCTCGACGGATATGACGGCTCCTCGCAAAATCTACCCAGTTAAGGTCAAGGTACAGCGAACGTCATAGGAGTAGAGTTTGTGCTGGAGCGCGGATCTCCGACTGGTGTTGTAATATGCGGGTGAGGTGGATGCGGTACCGTAGATGTGGTGCGGCGTGCCTGTGGGAAGCCCTCGCACACGCAATTCCTTCCACGCTTCCTTACCTCTCTACAAAGCAGCCGTGGCGATCGCAAACAAAGCGTCCGAACCGCTCAATACCAGCCAGCAACTCACATATCCTTTGGCCATCCACTCACGTCCCCTATGGTCTACCAGCGCCGTTCAAACGAGAGTGAACATGTCTGCCGACAAGGACCACCACCCTCATCCATCTTCTCTGAGCGACAAGGCAAACATGGGCAACACGATGCAACCCACGACGAAAGACGAAGAGAACCAGGTGCACCGCGACGTTGTAGCGACAGGACTGCGAAGCGAGAGATCGACGTGGTGGCTCCAATTCCTTGCTTCGGCTGCCCTGACCGCGCTCATTATGTTCTCATACGACAAGTTTGTAGGCCTTCCTCGCCGCGCTTGCCCACCTTGCGAAGCCCAAGGTTGCTGAAGATATCTGGCTGAGGCCTTTGAGCACCACGAGGAAGGCGGGAGTCGGACGTGGCTGGTTGTCGCTATGCGATGTGGACGGCAGGGGCGCGTGTACACAACCTGTTGTTAGCTACATATCAAAAGCAGCGCGTCGCGCATGCTTGACTATGCCGTCTCGTCGTGCTATCGCATGTGCGCATCAAGGACCGGATCGTGAGCGTGATGGTCGTGAACGTGGTAGTCGTGATTGAATTGGCCTGGCGGCAGGCGCTCGGGCTCGGCACGGCAGATGAATCTCCGGGCTGCCCTTTCGCCGCCCGCATCAGCGCCAGTGCCCACGCCCCGAGCCGCACCCCACAACTGCATGCGCCTCGCCCGCAAACCCCATCGGCATCTTCAAGGCATCGTACGCAACAATGGCCGGGCGAGCGCGACATGGAATCACGAGTAGGGGGCTTGTCTGTCTACGCATTGTCGCCGCCCGCCCCCGTCCGGCAGTAACCCGCCCGAGAGCTCGACGTATGCTCGCCCAGCCCAGACCGCATCCTCGACAACCTCGGCGCCGGCGGCATATTCGGCGGATACCTTCCGGAGTCAAATGCGCCATCTGTGGCGTCCCTACGCCCGATGCCGCCGTATGAGAGAGGCATGAACCCTGGATGAGGTGAGCGACGGTCGCAATGCCATTTCCCGGTCAACAGGGCAAGAATGACGACACCAGGGAGTCTGAGGCGGTCGCACTGTGGCACATGAAGGAGAAGGCGTATGCACACGTGGTCAAGCCGACGACGCGATGGATGGTGGATGAAAGCGGGCTTTCTACTGCCTCTATGCCAGCATACAAGTCGATATCCAGTGACGACATCTATTCCGCTATACCCTCGATCGATCGAGCTGCCTCTGCCATGAGCGCGTCACATACACAGGCAAGGATGGTGGCGGAGCCATGGCTATTTGGCATTGCGACATATCTGACGGCGTGAGGTTGACCGCTTCACATCATCGTACCAGCACAATCGTCGTCATGCCTGCCCCCTCGCGGCCCTCGACTCGCCGAATACCACGTTCCATCACTCCGCGATACCATACTCATCACGAAGCGACACCTCGGCGGAGTAGCACCAGGGTGAGTCTCTACACATGGATGGTCGATCGAGCTCGCAGTTTGTAGAGCCGACGTCGCGCAGCCTCATCGAGCGAAGACTGGGCCCGATGGCATTGCGGACGAAGGCATGTGCGCGCATATACGGACTGTCCTGTTCGAGACAGCATTGGGTGGTGAGGGTTTTCTTGTGGACAGTTGACATGTATGCCCAGGGCACCCGAAATCGATTGCGACAACATCCGGCCAGCTCTCATCGAGGAGAACGAGTCTACAATGGCTACCTCAATCCGCCATACGCGTCGTGAGACACGGGTTGCGCGCCGCAGCATGGCTAAACTCTCTGGTCATTGGGCGGCTTCGGCCTCAGCACCGCGCCATGTCGACCAACCTAAACCACCTCGCCGACGCGAGATTGTATCCCGACCCACGTTCCTACGAAGTCGCCTCCAATCGTCCTCGATCGACTTCCAACTACTTTGTGCTTCGCCCCGCGTCTCGCCGCCCTCCAGCGTCACCATGCAACATTGCGAATTGCGAGAGTCATCACGGTGATCGCACCGCACAGCCAGAGTACAGCAAACATCATCTTACAAGGAGTGCACTCGTCGACGCTGCGACTATCGTGTCGTGAGTCGACGTAGTGCGCCGCTGGGAACACTCCGTAATCTGTCACATGTTGGGCTGAAGTGTAGACTGGTGCGCCCATCGCTGGGTCAGTCGCCGGGTCGGAGTAGCTGGGTGGCTGGTCGTCCATCGCAGACTTAATGCTGCGTGAGTCATCGCAGCCAAGGCTTAACGTGTGAATGACACTTACATCGTCGACGTTCTTACGCGCAGGATGCGACAGCCTTTTCACAAGACTTGTAGATTGTGGTGCTTTGGTGTTGTAGGTACGAGTTGTTGGAGGGCAATGAGCTCCGTGAACAGACGTGCAATCATGGGCGGTTGACAGCTAGACGCATCAATTGTTAGGACTACTTACTTGGGTGGCAGTGCACTGTCTGAAACGACCTTGGCTTCGATGCCGCCAACAATCCCGACAACACGGCCCGCATAGCTGTGCCACACATCGCCCCAACCTCGAACGATCTGACATAAGCCATACGTCTTCTCCACCTCCGATGCCTTCGTGTTCCAAAGAAAGTATTACCAGCAACTTTCTGGACATGAGATAAATCAGTTTCAGCACACATCTGCCGCGCCTTTGTTTCGGACGATCCTTCAAGGCACACTCTGCTCTTCTTCGTACGGCGCGCGTCAGGTTGCACCTTCCGTATGCCCGCGAGGAACATGTCCAACAAGGATAATTAGAAACATCGTGATGACATGCGATCTTGAGGTTGTTGTTTAGGTTTCTGTGCCGTGAGTGGAAGCATACGCCCGGTTCGAGATTGGGGCTTTCGTATTCCTAAGACAGACTCACGATACAGCTGTCAACTTCCCAGTCCGACCAGAGCGTCTTGCACCGGCGTCTACACAAGCGGCCTGAGATGAACCTGCGGTATAAGAGTGCGCATCTCATCAGAAGTCTCGAGTATCAACCCCGAGCCCACCTTCATAGTCACGTCCTTGCCGACAATGCTATCGATTCTGTTCCCAGTTTACATCTCATCTGCGAAGATAGCAAGTGCCTATCCTGCCGACGCTATCTCCAATGACCTATCTCCCCACGTCTTCAAGCGCAACCCATGTGATGGAAAGGATGCCGAACCTATCCTGTATCACGATTACAAGAACGACGTCTGCCCACCGCCTATGGGCTTCGAATCGCCAGGCGTGTGTCACATGAAGAAGCAGCAGAACGAAGGGTCCTGGTGGAACCCGTTTCGGGGCTTCCATTGTGGCGGATTTTGCGAGGAGAACGTAGGTATTCAAGACAAGGGCCTAATTACGGCTGACTTGGGATGATAGGTGCGGTTCTTCTACGGTCAGGAGAGTATGTTCCTCTCGAATCCGTATTGCCATGGCCCCATGACGTGCGGCTACACAGATACTACGACCACGGCTTGGGCGTACACGATCAACTTCCCGCTCAGTGGCAAGATAGCTGATTTCAGTGGTGGCGTTACTGGTGGTGTATCGAACACGAAGACTGTAGCCAAAGCTATCAACAAAGCCGTAAAGCTGGAGCAGAACGAGTGTGGGTACTTTACATGGATTCCTATACTCAGAGAGTCTTGGTCAGCATGCTCCGATCCGTCTCTCATTCGTTGCGAGGGTGACAAGCAAGTCTAATACAGACAAGATTTGTGGCTAACATTGTGTAGTGGTACTTATACAGGCGACGGCAGATATCTGGACGTCGCTCCCGGACATCCGGAGGGAACTTATGTTGATGGAACAAGCAAGCCCGATACATGCATCACAGTACCCAACGCTGCCAGAGGTAGTGACAATGATCCTTGGGGTATTACTGTCCTCGTCCGAGTGGACTGCGCGACGCATGCACCGCTCCCATCTGATTGGTATGCACTCTCTCCTCTGCCTGCGTTGGATAATGACTGATTGCGATACAATAAGCGATGCCTTTGCGAAATTACTCGCTACTGCTCTTTCCACGATTTTATGAGATTGTGCTCCTGACTGTACCTGTCTAGTCCAAGATCCAGCCTACAACAAGCCAGGCGTACCGCTTGATCGTGGCGTGTACAACTCCTTCTCAGAGACCTTCGAGAACGATAATGCCGACATGATGTACGGCCAGTCGTCCGAGATCGACTGCTCAGTGACCGATGCCTCCAAGCTAGCGCAACAAGAGGACTGCTACGCAGCCCTTGCGACAGGCATGATGCATCCGGTCGTAGGCCTCCTGCAGGGAGGAAATGGTGGACAGTGGTGGGCGTCGGTAAATTCCACGCTCGACTCAGACAGTTCGCCAGATGCTGACTTAACTGCAGTACGTACACACTTGCGCCTTCAAATCGAGTACGAACAAGACTGGACAGAGGATTGCCTCGTAGGTCTCGCGGAGGTTCTGAAGGCTGCATCAGGCACCCTGAACACGTGCAAGGCCCAGGACAATGGCGGTGTGGGTGGCTCCCGAAAGATCCGCAACGACGGCAAATGTAATGCGACGCTTCGCCTCGCCAATACTGAGGGCAGAGAACCACCGCAGGACATGAGTCTTTTGGTTCCCAAGCATTGATTCGACTTCGGGATGAATACCATCAATCGTACGCATTTGTTGAGCGGATGCGCATATCGGCACGCCCATGGTTGGACGATTGCTGGATTCGCGTAGCTTGGTGGCAAAATTTCAACGCGCGACGTAGGAGTTGATGACTGACGGGGCAATTGATCGGCAAACGCAAAAGCTCACCTCGGTACGCTTGGGCTGCGATTAATCGGCCATGGGTGGTACGGTGTTCTTTAGAAGGTTGCGCGAGTACGACGGATGCCAGTGGGAGCGGTCGTGCAGAGCACACGTCTTCACTCGCCTTGACTGCGCCTCATTTACATAGCCCTAGCAGAGCATGAAACAGCCGCATGATCACATTCTCTCCTCCATGACATGTTTGCAGCTGTCCGAAAGCTGTCTGCTGCACATCAAATGGAATCCTCGGTCAACTCGAGCAGACTGACATTCCCTCTCATCCACGCGTTAATTCGGTTCTCGAATGGCGCATTTTGTCACTGCGACGTCTAGAAATATCGCGCGCGGAAGTTAAGGCGCAGGCTACCAGTGCTTGCTACATTGTGACCTTGTGTGACAGTGATTCGTGCTAACAGCGCACTCTCACAGGGCGCAGGGTACAAGCTGTCAACACTACACCACATGAGTATTTGCTTGAAGATTACACCCGATAGGTCACAAGGTTTGTTGAAATGCTGCTAGTCCCGATTGTACAAGCCCTACAGAAATCTCAAGACCTTTTATACCTTTGCCTGCACTGCACTTTCTAGCGCGGAAGAGAGGTTCTCGTGCGCCCATCACGTAACGCAAATACTATCCACGTCGCTTGACACACTAGAAGACCTTGCCCACCATGCCATTCCTGCGCATCATGGCTTCCTTCGTCTCCAGAGCGTCGTATGAAGTCGCACTGTAGATGTCTGCAGAGAAACCCATGAGATCGTCCAGGCTAATCACCTCGTCAGGGGCCTTCCAGCCCAGCTCCGTCGGCAAGCGCTCGTTCTCTACATGACGATTAGCACGAAGCTGCAGTACACAAGGGTTGGATACGTACCGAAGAAGTATTCCACGAGATCTCGCCTCGCTGTCTTCTCGGTCTTGTTGCCAAAGACGAGCATGTACCCAGCGCCTTCACCCGCGCTGAAGTCCGCGGCCAGCTCTGACAAAGCGAACTTAGGGTTGTACTTCACCGAGTCGATCATACGGGCGAGACGTGCGTTGGCGGCCATTTGGATGTCGATGAGGTCGTCTGTCCAGTAGGAACGGGTTTGGTCGTATATGGTGTGATTGAAGGAGACGGCATCGTCATTAAAGTACTTGTCTGAGCGACTGAATTGTAGCATCATGTCAGTCATGCTCTTCACGAGTTGGGCTTTCCTATCGACCAGCGGACTTTGCAAAGGGCTGCAGAACTTACCTCAGACTTGCGTCATGCTCCAAAATGTTGTGGTTGCCGAGCGTATCGAGACCCCAAGTCGTGGTGTTCGGGCCGGGGTTCGTCGTCAGCGCAAAGTTGTACAGCAACTCTGCGATGTCATCACCGACGTTGATACCCTTTCCGAGGGCGTGTTTAACCTGGGGAAGCGTGAAGTTGCGCCCTTCGCGAGGAAGGAAGCCGTGGTTCGCCAGTGTGTTGAGCATGGGGCAAGGGCCTCGCGCTGGACAATGTTAGCGATTGCTGTAGCGAGCACTTGGGGAAACACATGACGTACACTCTCCGGGACCAGCTGGGTGCCAACTCGTGAGAGAGCCCTGCGCATTGGCGAGGCCGACGCTTGTGACAGCGAGCAAGACGAGAGATGAAATGCGCATCATGATGATCGATGGAAAAGGAAGTGAGAGGGGGATCGAAGGTGAGGTAGTCTTGGGTTGAGAACGTCGTACTGGGTAGGCACAAGATGAACGAATTCGACCAAGGAGCCCTTATATCAGTCTTATACCAACTCGACCACAGTAAGATGAATGAGCTTGCATAGCCCGCACTCGGTCATCTTGGCCTGAACCGAAGCTGCCCTGTTCTAAATGGCATCTCAAACAGCTCTATAGTGCTCATTACGTGGACTTCGCGACCGAACCCTCTTCCGGCTGATGGTGCGAGACGAAAGTACTCAGGCCCCCGATAGATTATCAGCATGGAGGCTCTGTCGGCGCCCGAGAGCCCGAGTGGGAGGACGGTGAAGGTGTTGAATTTCCGAAACTGTGGAGAGCGACCTGCATACATTAGTAATGACTGCGCGCTCACTGGTTGCTCACAGCTAGGTACGTCCATGTTGGTGTCCGCGCAAGAGCCGTTCGGAAACCTCTACGGGCCCTAGCGTCTGCGAGGGTATAGATCGTTATTGTGCTGATGTCACACTCTCTATGTGCACGCTGAGGTGGGCTTGGTTTTGGCGTCACGGGATTTGCACTCATGGGTCAGCTGCCTTCGCTACTATTTGAACATGTTGGAATTACCACTCGAAAACCCAACAGATATCTGGTGGCTTTTGGCTGACCCGCTCCCCGCGTGACAATTTAATCTACAGTACGCGCGCCTGCAGAACAGACACGTCTCGAAGCCTGCGATCTGCAGGCACACAACATGCGGTCCAGGAATGGGCAAAGTCGCGAATTTGACACCGGCTGGGGCGCAGCGAGCATCGCGTAGCGAAGGACGCGAAGGACGCGTGAACTAGCGCTACTCGGCTACTCAGCCTCCCGCCCGTCAGAACCGGAACGCCAAGACCGCCGCATCCGTGCCATTATCCGATATGGATCTGTGGGGAAGTCGGAGATCATCCCGCGACCTTGCGCGTCTTCGCCATTTGCAGCTAGAAAGTCGGATCTGGTTGATCGCAGCGCGATACTGTCTTTCGGAACGTTTGAGTTGAAATCTTCGACATGCTGCATTTTCACGCGGGACAGAGGCGAGATTATCGGCTGCACAGGCGTTACGCAATCACAGCTGCATCACAGCCTCCAGTGCGGTATGGGATTGCGCAAGCACCAAGGTACTTTATTGGGTACGACGCCTCACAACAATCGCTATTCCATGATGCGCGACACCCCGGCAACTGTGGGGACCTCATATGCAGCCCACACACACCATCGCATTGGGCAGTGCACTGCAATCCCTAGCGCGGAAGACGAGTCGCAGGCGTACAAAGTATGTACAGCCCAGATTCCCGTCAGACAGTGAGTACCAAAAAGCGTGCTGTTCGTACTCGCACGGGCCCACCGGGTAATGGGCTGTCAGCTCTCACCGGTCCCAGAACTAGTACTTTCTTCCTGGTTCACGGCACATTTGTCACCAGGTATGTCCAAGACATGTGCCGAGATATGACACATGACGCATTGGTTACACAGCAAAGGTGATTGGGTGTCTTCACTGGCTCGTCGGCAAAGCTCTGGACGCATAACGGCTCTGACTGTGACTGGTAGTCAGCGAGCAGTGCAGACACGGGTGGTGCGGCTATCATGTGGCCAAAACCATTACTTCCTATCGTGTATCTTCTGGTGACGCTTGAGATCGTTCAGCCTCGTAAAAGCCTTGCCGCATTCCGGGCACTCGTGCGGCCTTTCCCCTCGATGGCTGAGCTCATGGTTCTTGCGATGAAAGTTGCGCGAAAACGTCTTCCCGCACATTGTACAGGCATGGGTCGATGCCTCAGGCTTTGCTGTAGCAGTAATGAACCTCTCGGCCAAGTCAGTCATCTCGAGATGGAACGCTCGTGTGTGTCTCTCCAAATCCTTCGCGTTGGAGAATCCTTCAACTCCGAGGCAGTCTGGAACTTCGCACTGGAACGGCCTTGTGTGGATGTTGACGTGTCGGTTGCGTGCCTTCTCATCCTTGAAACCCTCAGAGAAGTACCTGCATGTAATTCGCGTGCATTTGAACCGCCTTTCCACGACGAAAAATTTGTCATACGCGTCTTTCTCGTGTGCAGTTGGGCCAGGCTTGGCCTTGGGAAATACCTCAAGAGCCTTGCGATTCCGGTCCAAGGCTTTCGAGAGGTCTTCGATGCTGATCTTGTGTTGTGCATCGAAGCCCTTCTGTTGGAAAGTGTAAATGTGACTAGTAAGCTCCACTAGATGATCGTAAAGGTCGATATGCTCAAAAGTCCTGCATTTGGTCTTGCAGTCGTCCACCAGGTTATCTGACCAGTTCACGTCGCCGTAACGCGTCATGAAGTCGTCCATGGCCTTGAAGATGCGATGCAATTGTCCAGACACGTCATTTGCCTCGTTTAGAAATCGCTCGCCTTGACCTACCCAGGCGTTGACATGGTGGAACCATTTCGCGATGGCATAATCTTGGAAAGCAATCGATCCGTCCAATACATATCGTCGGCGTTGCGCTTGATCATCCGGTTCGTCGACGTCGAAACAGGGAAAGGTGAGGTATTGTAGACATAACGTCGCCAACTCGCATTCGATGGATGGTTCGTGAATATCGTTCGTGACACTAGTGATGTACCTATTTCAGTCAGGCTGGGAAGCTCTCAAACGCATGCGAAAGCACATACGTCTTGGCCGTGCTATGAACGAGAGAGACCCGATCGCCAGTAACGACGACTAGTGAGCCGCATGTAACATAGATATGATCGCGCAGGTGCTGATATTCGTAGTCGATAATTTGACGATCCACATCGATCGAGAGCGCAACCTGTATCTCCTTCCAAGTAAGTCGGCGCTTGGCACACACCAACCTGTGCGAGCAAGACACGGTTAGAATATGATGCGCAGGCTGTAGGAACAGAAGACAACACACCATCCAAGCAACTTCTTGGTTTTCGGCCATCCCCTGCCAGATGTTGTTTTTGCACGTGTGACTATCCGCTTATATCTACCAACGCGGTTAACGAAAGCTCGACGTACGAGTGTGTGCACACGTGTCCGAAGGATTATTCCGGATCTCTTCTGGTGCGTACGTACGCTTCTTTGAGTCCTGGAGGAAAGTTGTCCGTCTTGATAGCTTCCAAAAGCTCCGCTAGCGTTGTACATTGGTGAAGGTCGAGTAAAACCAATTTGGCGTAGAGAAACATGCCTGCTTTGAGTTCAGATACCGGATGAATCTAGGGTGCATGACAACAAACTTACCTCTTGCGTTGGCCACGGTAAGGTGGCGGAGATAATCTTTCATGTCATCCGTGAAGGGTGGAAACTTTGCCCCGATCTGGTCCACCCACAACCTCGTGTAGGCCTTGATGTCGCCTTCGTTGTCCGATTCCGAGATTTGCAGTATCTTTGGCGTCATTTTGGTGATCGCGGAGCTATGAAGCCCTCTTCGTATGTCTGCGTGGTCTTGACTCGCGATCAGAAGTCGGATGCTACCTGGATCGGCCGTTTCACCTTGGCCTACCACGTCGGTCAATATGTCTATCACTTGGCTTCTTTCCGTCCTTTCACACTCATCCAAACCGTCAACGACGATGTAAAGTTTGGGAATGGTGAAGCAAAAGTCTTCGAAGAGCTTCTTCGCTTGATTAAGAGATCTGAGAGATGGCTCTCCGCTCGAACTACGCCTTGTGTAGCAGGGAGGTAGCAACTGGGGGTATTGATCTAAGAGTTGATCTAAGAGACCCTTTAATATACCGACGGCGGTGCTACTCGCCGGATCTTCATCGTGGCAGTAGAAGAAGCAGGTGATAAAATCAGGCCTGGTCTTACACTCTTCGACGATGGCCGATGCCAGTATGGTCTTGCCTGTTGCCCATCAGCGTCAAACTATTAGTACAGTCGGAACACAGACCGGCTCCTGGTATCCCATACATCCAGACGACTGGGCTGTTTGGAATATCCGAGTGTATCCAATGCTTGATTGTCTCGTGCTGTGTTATCCACCTGGCAGTGGTCGTGCACTCTGTTCGTATTTTGCAGAAGCTCTCATGGTCGAGCTGAGGTTGCTCTCCAACGGCGAGCCATTCTTTGACGATCATTAGCTTCTTGATTTCCTGTTGCTTGACATCTTCTTCCAGCTTCGCCCGGAACTCGGCGACGTCCTCCTGGTAGAGTTGGTATTGCGCAAGATTAGCACGGCACTCTACTATGTCTTTGTGCCGACGAAGGCTACCCAAGATCCCATCGAACTTTGTGTTGAAGTTTTTCCACCTGATCCCGAGGACTAAATTAGTATTACTCCAACGTATGGTTTCGCATGCAGGGCCTGCTTACATTGATTTGAATAATCGAATCCATACTGTGTTGATGTTAGCTGTGACATGCGCGGATATTCACAATGTTCGCCTACATCTGCCTGAAAAGAATTTGCGCGCTTGTTGGTGAAACTCCAAGATGTCTAAATACATCATTTGCAAAGCTTCAACCATGTGGGGTGACTTGTGAAACAGGGATTCGTATTCTACCAGTAACGGCAGCTGTTCGCCAATCCGCTCGTAAGCATCCAGAACCTGTTCGAAAGAGTCTGCGAACGTGCTAGCAGTCTTCTTCTATCAGCCAAAGTATTGATACGAACAGTCGGTCCACTCACTAATAATATGAACTTCATTGGACCCCAGACGAAGGCAACCGCGTCTGAAACGTTGAGAAAGATTTCTATGACTTGGCCGAATTGATGCATTGCCTCAAGGCATGACTTGATACGAGCGAGATTCATCGCTTCCTTTCGACGTTCTTGCTCATCTTGAACCTGCAACAGTGCTTTGCAAAGCTGTTCATATGTCGTCGTGCTGAATTCTGTAAGTTCAGTGCCGGTGAGTTTATTGCGAAACTCTGTGATAGCACGTGTCAGGGCGGTTCCGGTCGCACGCGGTGGTGGAGTGTTGCCCCCAACCAAGGTCGGTTGCTGGGACAGAGCGCCAGGCGTGCCCGTCGAGGTACGACTAGCCGGTTGCGAAGGTATCGGGCCCGCCATCGAAACGAGTCATTAAACGGCCTGTGCCGATCTGGATTTGCCAATCGAAGTTGCTAGTACCATTGCACGATGCCAGGCGGCACTTATAACAATTTGAAGTCGCGTGCGGAGCCTGTAGCTGGCCATATCGCTGTGAGGGGGGCGGAGCAAGGCTGAAATTGTGCGTGTGGCTTATCGGCATGCAGGACGCAGCAGGAGGCTGCAACGTAGCCTCCCGGGTGCGACGAGCTGAAAAGATCGAGAATCCGCAGCCTGATATGCAGCGTCTCTTTCACGCATGCCTGGGTTTCGAGTCGCGAATCTCGAGGAGACATTGGTATTCGCTTGAAGTTGTCATCTTCGCCATTCTACGGTCCATTCCTTTAGGTAGCACCTTTGCCAAGCCGCTAAGACGCAACGCGCTTGCGTCACGCGTCATGGCGCTCAAGCATCTACTCAACTACGACAATGTCGATGACTTTCAACATGGGAGCCACAGTCCGCACTCAGACTGGTACCAACACGGCTCTTCAGAACAGTACGCGATGGACGGGTCGTGATCAAGCGGTGGGCTGACAATCCTAGGTCTACAGCGGCTCTGCCAACACAGTCCTGGGAGCAATACATAACCGAACTTCTCGGCTCGCAAACCGCACCATGTGACCCACCACTAGATGGAGATGGGGTCGACATATACAGCTCGTTCCAAGACACGAGTGCTGATATTGAGCAATGGGCGATGGGACAAACGCCGCATCGTTCTACGGAGGATGGAACTCCAGCAGAAGAAGTCCACGTTTGCTACGGTATGGTAAGTCGTCAAAAGACCTCTCTGGTGAATCTCATTGATGAAAATCAATCTCGTCTCGTGTGCCTGCTTTGTCGAACATGAACCTGACGCGCGTCCAGATTTCTAGGGCTGCTATCCGCCTTCGAGGCGATATGGTGGAGCTTCATCGCAGGCTCAACTGCATTGCATCATCTCCAATTCCAGGCCATGCGCGAATGGTTATCATCAAGCCCGAAGCCCGATTCCTGGTAGCTTTCCCGGACGGCGCAGTCGTAGGAGACGCGAATGCCCAATTAGATGGAGCATTGACGAGCATCGCAGAACAAGGCTATGAGGTTGATCTGGAGGTCTTTGCCCCGATTCGTGTCATACAAGAGACTATAGGTCGTGCTACCAAAGAGAAAGAGGCTGTAGTACGGGTACAGGTGAATGTGTACGGCCCACCGATAGCTGCTTGCGACATTGGTAGGGAGCTCTCGCAGCAGAAGATATATCTGCAACGCCCTGTTTACGTCCGAGATGGTTACCAATACGAAAACCCGCACATTCTCACTCTCCCTGGATTCCAGGGCTCGATGCCTGAGATACCACCATCTATTACCGAGGAATCTTGCCCCAACAAGATTGGTCTGCAGACTTTGAAAAGCACTCTCCAGGATGTGTATTCCTCCCTCACGCGAGACCGCAATCTGCGTGGGTTAGAGGGTGATGAACGCCTCAATACCTCTCTTTTGCCGTACGTCGCTATCCAATTGTCTCCCAAACCTGCTGTCGATTCCGAATATAGACGCTCCGCAATCGCCCGCTAATAAGCCCAGGCACCAGAAGACAGCACTTTCATTCATGATGCAGCGCGAAAACGGGCCTATACCAGAGGAATACACGCTCTGGAGGTCGAGCGAAGAAGATGGAGTCCAATGGTGTGTACCCGGAAAACGGTCTTGCATGATACCGCTGAACCCAGTGATAGCTATCGTCATGTCCTGACAAGAGGACGCTGTGAGTTCAATCTCTGGCGTTCTGATGTTGAAGCATACTGATAATACAAAAGCAATGGTTGAGCCGAACGAGACTGGTGGTGGTATCCTCGCAGACGAGATGGGAATGGGAAAGACTCTCTCGATATTAGCCCTTATACTACGGACGCTAAACACTGCGCACGATTGGGCTATCCGCATCGATGATCTGAACGATGCGACTTTGGAAATACCAAAGAAGAGACGCCGCTCTGGAGCGACCCTGATCGTTGCGTCATCAGACCGTGAGTATAACGTCCTTGCGATACACGCTAGTGCTTTTGGACTGACGGCGCAGTCATGATCAATGAATGGTTTCAGGAACTAGATAAGTAAGTCACATAGGTCGTTGCATACTCTCCAGCTGCTCACCTTGAAAGGCATTTTGACGAGCCTACTCGTAAAGCCTTGAAAGCGATCAAGTACCATGGCCCTCATCGACACGTTTCCCTGGAGAGGCTCATGGAGGCAGACCTTGTCATCACTACCTATCATACGCTCGCGTCAGATTTTGCCCGGACCAAGCATGAGTTGAGGCATATTGAATGGTATCGTCTTGTCATTGATGAAGGTGAGTAAATTATCGAACGTCAGCCGCTCACCATTGACGACTATCACGTAGCCCACATTATACGACGGCAATCCACCATCTTGTACCGGACTGTAGCTGACATCGCGGCCCGATCGAGATGGTGTCTGACTGGCACGCCTATACAAAATCGCCTGGAGGACATCGGCTCTTTGTTCGCCTTCTTGAGAGTCAATCCGTTTCACAGCTTGTCGAACTTTCGAAAGACTATTGCTATACCTTTTGATGAGGGCGGTAAGAGACGTACTATTGCGATTGAGCGCTTCACTCGTCTTCTGGACTCCATGTGCTTACGCAGAACCAAAGATGTCCTGCAATTGCCGGCTGAGCAGCATCGAGTGAGAGAGGTACCGTTCTCATCAGAAGAGCGATTGCAATACGAGCAGACCAAAGAGATCATGTTCCGAGCTGTTCGCAACCAGAATGGCACTTTCGATCAAAAGAGTACGCTGGGCATGTTCCAGGTACAACTTCAACTGCGAATTCTCTGCAACCATGGTACTTGGCAGCAACCCTTCTCCTGGAATCGCCGCAAACTGCATTTACTGGATGAGAGGGAGGCCATGGAGATCTCCCTGGGGCGAGACGGCGAGATCACGTGCTCAGTATGCCGGCAACCCATGCCCGCCTTTAATAGCGGCTCCATGTTCCATCGCTATACCGAGAACTGCCGACATGTGTTGTGCTCTCAATGCTTAATCCAGAGCACGCCTAGTGGTCACGACGAGATACCCAGCAAATGCCCGCTATGCCAGCCCCTGTGGAATGTGTCCACCGAAGCACCTCGTTTCATGGACGCATCACAAGAAGATACTTACTTTCGAGCAAACGGACGGTCTTCGAAGATGGAAGTCTTGATGAACGACGTCTCCGTCGATATATGGGATACGAAAAGGTATGCACGATGAGTTCTCTCATATGAGTGGCAAGCTTAACAAACTCGCAGCATCATATTCACTTGTTGGACGCGCACCTTGAACTTGCTAGAGAGCTACCTCCGTTACATGTCAAATAACACGTGGACCCATGAGCGCATCGACGGCGAATGCTCAACGACCAAACGCGAACGTATCTTGCATCAATTCACGGAGGACCCCAATCTGCGAGTACTGATCATGACCACCGGCACCGGCGCGGTAGGGTAAGTCGGCCACATACTTATCGTTGACTGCTATCGTTTATGACATATGCTAGGCTCAATCTTGCGACCGCGAACCGCGTTTTCATCGTCGAGCCCCAATGGAATCCCTCAGTCGAGAACCAAGCTGTCGCACGAGCCCTGCGTCTTGGACAAAAGCAAGCAGTATTGGTAACGCGTTACGTTATGGAACAGACGGTAGAGCAGGTAAGCATAGCGAACTACCGAATTGATCGCCTGTCGTTGACTCCAACAGGACATGCGCGCATTGCAGGACACCAAACTGGAAAGAGCCAATCTCATACAAAGTGGCTGAGTGATATGTGCCAGGCGCGTTGCCACGTTCGCTTCCGCGCCTCTTGCATCACCTCGGCACCACCTCCAAGCCCATACCTTGGATGCAGTGGATGTATTGTTGAGAAATTCATCAAATCATTTGGCTACATACTCCGTGGGTGATTCTGCAACGTTCACAGCTGAAAGCGCAACGACGTTCTCCGCGAATGGTTCCTGCAGCCTGCTGTGCAGAAGGGCTAGGCTTTGAAGTGACCCACAATTGACAGAAGCGTGCTTTCTTGCCGCAGATGCGCGCTTTGTATTCTGACCATGTCAACCTTCCACAATGCCTTGTTTACCCCTGTGCGCCTGCAAGCCACTGTGTGTGGCATGATAAACCGGTGAGCAATCTGCTCACATGGGTGTGACGAGTCACAAGAGCTGACATGGTCTTCACCGGTGCGTGCTGCGCCACCGGTCCTTCTTGTGCTCGTCCATGTGGAAGCAATGAACGACCCAGTGGTGGGGAGCAACACCGATCGGGTGCAGGCATCAGCCACTCGTCCACGCTAAAGATTGCAGTGCAGCGGCCTCAGGGGAAGGAATATATTATGTATGTTCGGCGTATCCCTCAAGTCCAAAGAGCGGCTGCGGATGCGCTGCGGACGTCCCTTTCAGGAATGTTGCCAGTTCTGCTTCCGTGTCTGGCCCGCTGCGCAAAGAAATACCCTGCATGTCGTAGCATCGCTATTGGCCTCTTAAGCTGCGCTTTTGCGTACTCCTACGCGCTAGAGATTGCAGTGCAAATTTGGGGGCTGAACTTCGCTCAGGCGCCTTCCCACAATGTGTTCTGCCACACAACTGCTCCGCCGCCGCAGCTGACTAAGCTGCCTCACCCCTCTAACGCCCATCGCTTCAATGCGAACGGGAACAGTGCACCACCTACAATGTTCTACTTGCATGCATGGGTTTTTTTTCGATGCGCAGTCAGAAGCGTCAAACATATCGAGAGACCCTGGTTCACAGCGGCGTTCGCTGTATTCCGCGATTGTGACAGGCTCGCAAGGCTCTTCGCGCAGCCATGGATGGGTATTTTCTCTAGCAATGGGAAGCAGCAGGCGTGCTAATAGCGACGCTAATTTGATAGTAGACATGTTTCTTCACGCTACAGATCGCGATGCTAATCTCAGCGTCGCGGGTACACCGTCATACTATCAGCTCCACATGACTACCACTCTTCCGCGCTAGAGGCTGCAGTGCAAGGCGCAGTCGAATGCGGCGCGCAGCACCCTTCCCCTTGCTGTTCCATGCCGCACATGCGCTCTACCTCCTCTTCCGCGCTAGAAATTGCAGTGCAATGGGCCACGGCTACTACCTATCGGGAAGCTGGTGCTGCCTCTGACATGATTGGTACCTTCGCCCCGGGCCCGTCTGTGTACGCGTCCGCGCTAGAGATTGCAGTGCCTGCGCAAATTCACGCTCAGTCGCCGTGCCACCATACTCTCTGTCGCACACAAAAATGGTGTTCCAGGCTTCGCCCATCATCGACCGCGAGCCGTGCCGCTCCCCGCCTCAGCTGATAACACCCCACATTCGGCCATCCTCAACGCTCCTGTTTACAGAGTAGACTCATCACTACAGTCTACTTGCGCGTGCGCATCAATCCTATCAGCTAGTCAAAAGCGTCGTATACATCAGTAAACTCCAATTTCGAGCTAGATTCGTGGTGTTGTCCCGGTGCGACAGACTCGACAGGCTGTTCGCCTCCTAGCAAATTCGCTCGCATAGGCATCTCGCTGCTCTTCTGCGCTAGGAACTGCAGTGCACTTGTGCGGAAGTGCCATGATCCTGGCTTTCTATCCATAGACGCGCGCCCGCAGTAGAGCTTGTACGAGAATGGAAAAGTACTGCAGTGCCTCCTGCACGAGGAAGGGCTGATGTTGTGCAGGCTGACCTCTGCACTGCATTTTCTAGCTCGGGAGATGGAGTGACAGGCATGCGTATATATCCCTGTCCCTTCTGGAGCGCTAGAGATTGCAGTGCATCTTAGTAACATCGAGGGCCGCACGATGCTGCGCAGAGTTCCTGCCGTCCCTCCAAAATGATTGGTCGCTCCGCCCAACCACACACTCGTCCGCGCTAAAGATTGCAGTGCAAACGCGAGCTGAAGAGCGGGAAGCGGCTTTCCCGCTTCTATTCACTGTTGTACATGGGCTCAACGGTCTCTTCCACGCCAACGATTGCAGTGCAAGACGCAACGCCATGCGGCAGAATCCTTTCCATCTCCTCTGACAGCGTTCTGAGTGGCTACTATGCAAAGTCGTCCCTCCCTGACAGATCTTGGAACCACTGATCTGATTGGTCACCCTGTCCATCCCATCACTCGCGCTAGAAATTGCAGTGCAAAGAGATGCGGTGAGCACTCCACGTTGTAAGCTGTAAGACGCCTGAGAGCCTGATCTTCACGACAAATCATCCGCCTTACCCTACGGGAGTTGAAGAAGAATAGATAATTTCTGCGCATTCCATAACAGACAGCTAAGCACAGATACAATCACATTTTCTAACAAAACGCCAAACTACCGACGAAGCACAATCTATGAACACCTCACAGCACACGCCGCATCTCCAGCAACTGCGAACACACGCCCCTAGTTCCTCTCCACCTGCTTCAGCTGAACCCACAACGGCCCCTTCTCCCAAACGATGAACGCCTTCTGGTTATCCGGCCAGCTGTGGCTCTCGGGCTGCAACACAAGGTCGAAGTTCCACACAAGACGAGCAATAATGACCTTCATCTCATTGTAGGCCAAGTTCTTACCGATGCAGTTGCGTGGGCCAAACGAGAAGGGCTGGAGCGCCGATTTCTTGTCCGCGTTGAACTGCGGGTCGTGGTGGGGATGGTCAGGACCGAGCCAGCGCTCCGGGATGAACGAGTCGGGCTGGACGAAGTTGGCGGGGTTGTGGTTGGTGGCCCACTGGAAGATTGTGACGAGAGTCTAGAAGGATTTGTTAGCCATGGTTCATTTAGTTCGAAACAGCTTGGATTGTTGACCCAGAATGTCTATTAGTGGGTGATGGGCTACGGGCAACGGGCTGTGGAGGGACTTACGCCTTTGGGAATGTATTGGCCGTTTACGTATTCACCGGGAGATACACGTGGAGGCGTTTCGACAGCGGCCGGATAAATTCGCAAAGTCTCCTCAATACATGCGTGCAGGTATTTGAGTTGCGCCGTGGAGAGCATCGTTATATCCTTCTCAGTAGGGAAGGCCGTCCGGACTTCTTGTTGAAGCCTCTCAAAAGCCGCCGGGTTTGTCGACAGGTAGTAGGTGAGGCCCGAAAGTGTAGTAGCTGTCGTCTCGCTGCCAGCCACGAGGAAGCCTTCGGAGTTTCCCAAGATCTCTGCATGGCTCATGCCCTTCTCGTCGTTGTGACGAAGGATGTACGTCATAAAGTCGTTACGGCCGTTGGGTGCTGGACCAAGTGCTAGTCTTCGCTCCACCTTCTCGTCGCTCATCTTCCTGTTATCAATTCGCTTCTGCATGTCCTCCTTGGAGATTAGCAGCTTCACGATCCAAGTCAGGTACGGCATCTTCATTAATGCCTGCATTTGAGAACCAACTCTGATGCCAGTGAAGATCATCGAGACCCACGGATGGTAATCGCTCTGGTCCAGGCAGTGAAACGACTCCCCCAAGGCCAGATCTCCAATGATGTCGAAAGTCGTAAAGTTGTACCATTTGACAACGTCGGTTGGTGTACCTTGCGCGGCGTGTTTCCGTAAATGAGCAAAGAGCTTGTCGACGTACTCCATGATCAGCGCTTCCTGTCCCTTGATTGCAGTATCCGAGAATGCATGTGCCACGACACGGCGTTCACGTCGGTGGTCCTCTCTGTTGGCCGTGAAGAGTGAAACATTTGTCTTGTCTCCAAGCTGATAGAAATCGTTCCATTTCCCGAATTCGGGTCGACCGCCACGACTGTGTCCAAAGACCTCAGGCCATCCAATGGTTCCGCTGATGGATATCGAGTTGGGCCCAGTACGGACCATGTCACCATACTTTTCATGGTACTTCAGGACCTTCTTGGGGAAATAACCCAACAGATGGTTCTCAACGATCAGCGGGATTCCGGAAACTGCAAACTGCTTTGGTCCAGGAATCTTGCGGAGAGGATGGAAGAAGAGCCGATACACTGCAATGCCCAATGTACCAACGACGCTCTGAGAACTTTGTTAGGGGGGAGCTGCATCATCGAAATGAATATACGTACAATTTCGAGTAGGAGGAGCACAGCGGCTGCGGCCTGCTGTAACGACATCTCGATGAAATGATGAAGATGCAAGTAGACGTAGAGTTTATTCGAGAGCTGCTTTGAAGATACAGATCCTGGGCCTCAAATACACGACGTGTGTAAGGCGGATGTGTGTAGGATGATGGCCATACCACTCCGCAGGGAGGCCGACATAATATATGCCCTGCGACGAAACCCACTGGGTAGGTAGACTTCATACCCTGTCTCTTCATCCATGGCTGCTACAGACATGAATGATACCTGCCGACGTTTCGTCTTGACATCTTGGGTGACAGGGTTTGGGTGGACCCCGATGAGTGAACAAGAAAGTGATCCGGTGGTGACGACCAGGCATAACGGTCGGATCTCGAATGTTTCCGGGCGCTAGCCTCGAAGAGTGACATCTGCCAAAATCTCCGATGGGGAACGCTAGGGTCGGATCGCGACTGCTCCGGCTTCCGTCCTCATCCACGCGCCGTTGCGTTGTGAGCGCGTATACACCGTATTGGACGTTTTAGTGCGAGTGTCAAGCTGGGATGTAGCAAGTTCGTTCTGTGTCTAGTGCTTCCAAACGGATGTCGTTGCTAGCCATCCGGTCGCGCCAAGCTTCTGGCTCGGTTGTACCCCACGATCGGCGTAATCTCTTCCAAGGTTGTGCCCAACGCCAAGCCGGTACGTAGGACGAACGTTATCAGCCTCCAAGGAGATGTGTTCTCTACCGCACCAAATACCGTTGCGCGCGAGGTGTTTTCAGCCTCGCAGTCCACCAAGACTCTCGTCGGTCATGTCCTCAACGCACACAGATCCCTTCCGTATTGAGAGAGGAGTGCGAAAGCATCGTTGGTACGCGCAGGGTTATCTCCTCGTTGCTATGTCGCCGCAAAACGGTCGAGAGACTCATGATGTCGTGCACTTACGTCTCGGAAAACACCGTTCACTCTTCCGCGCTGGGCATTGCAACGATGCCTACCTTGGCAGTCGGTGACGGACAAGCAGATCGACGTAGACATACACGTACTCTGACGCGTTAGGAGTTGGAGTGCAGGCTTACTGTGCGCACTCAGGGTTGCCGTGTAGTCGCAGAAGTCATCGGATGAGATCGGTCAGACTCAGCCTGCCCAGGTGGTCCTGTTTGCCTGCTCACGTGACGTACACGTGCTCTTCGACGCTAGGAAATGCAGTGCACTCCCACCGACTCCCACCGACTCCCACCGCTTCCCCCCACTTTTATGCGCTTCGCCCTGAGCATTGCAGCGCAGCATCTGAACGAGTACCCAATGGCTGCCGAACGAGTACCATCCATCACACACACTCCGTCCTTGGACTCAGATGCCCCTTACTACGCCAAACGTCAAATCAGTCCACATCTGGGCAATTGCACGGGAGGCCGCTCTTTCGCATACACCAACGCTTTGGCTGAGGATTGCAGTGCACTCCAGTCAAACCACGATGATGGTGATGCACATCTTGTTGACGTGGGAAGGTGTGGGTTCCTTCTACAAGATGGGTATTCGTTTACGCTAGAGATTGCAGTGCAAGAGCCAACGCCAACGTTGTCTGTAATTCCAGCATGCTGGAATATACCGTAGTTCTGGACTAATCACAGCCTTATCGTAACCAACTGCCCTTTTCTTCAACCCTGGTTGTCGTGTCTGCAGAGACTCGATACGTTGAACAGCCGATTCGACATCGTCATTTCGTATATGGTCTCGTCCATACTAAGAATTGCAGTGCAACGCCCAACCTTGAAGTGATTCCTGACCGGTTTGAGGGCCCTTGCGAAGGACTTCCACTTGCGGAACTGACCAGAAGTGAGGCTTCGTGGTTTTGCACTGCAATCTCTAGCGCGGACGAGTTCAACTCGCGGAGCTGACATTGGTAGGGATACGCGTCTTACGTACCGAGACCACGGTGGCTGAGCGTCCCGCCGCAGGAAGTTCATCGGTGATGCGACCTAGCAGCCAATCAAGCGCATCTCTTCTGTCTACATACACTCGTCCGCGCTAGAGATTGCATGCAGTGCAGAATGTCTGCCTGTTCTTGGCTCAGGCAAGTAACCTTTGTTCCTAGCCCAACGTCGACCGATACAATTAGATGTGCTCGTTCGTACTAGATGTTGCATCATGTCTGCCTTTGATGCCTCATGGCGCTCAGCTACCTCATATATCGTTCTTGTCTAAGCTATAAATGCAGTGCGAGTATAAAAGTGCGATTCAGGATTAATGTTTTACAGCCCGTGGCTGTGGCGAGGCAAGTTGGTCGTTACACCTGCGCATTGCCTCTCATCAAGTGCTCCTTCGCGCTAAAAATTGCAGTGCACCCACCCCCACCAGGGCCGGTGAGCGTCCACCTGGGCAGCTATGACAGGTGGATCACTCCCCTACACATGCACTCCTGTGCGCTACAAATTGCAGTGCACACCAGGATAATTCACGCTCCAAATTGAGCTGCGGCATTAGCGCAGCCGCGTTCGAAACTTCCGAAGCAAAGCTATTGGAGCTGCATGCACTCAAACTGCGAGGTATAGCTATCGTGACGGTTCGCAACACCCGCGCTGGAGATCGCGTTGACTACACTTCCACGGGAAGTTCACCAACGATACAACCCCGCAACTCTCAAGGCGCAACCCTCTCGTTGCGCGTTTGCGACATACCGGAGTAGAAATGGTCCTGGTCTACTAGATCTGAACGATTCATCGTAGAGGGTGAGTTGGACGTACTCTCCATCGTCAACATCGCAATGCAGGTCATGGCGTTCGACGTTTGGGTGCCAGGTACAGCATGCTACGACATCTTCCACGCCTGGGATTGCAGTGCAAGCCCACTTACAGTCGACCACACGTGCGTCGCTGCATGCCAGGAGGATGTGCTTTATACAGACTGGCTCTGAGTAAGCGACTAGCTATCGACTCCCTTCACATAGGCTCGTTCACGCTAGAAATTGCAGTGCAATTCGTGCTCAATTGGGCGCCGCGGCCTCTTGCCCAGACATGTCCCAAATAGTTGATTGGCTACCGTCATGGTTTCAAGGTTCGTGTAAGGGCTCGTCCGCACTAAAGATTGCAGTGCACACCAATTGTCATCTGTTTTCGCAACATACTCGCAGGATTGGCGGAAAGTTCAAAGCACGTCAGCCCCGCGACTTAGCGACTCGTGAAGTGCGACCCTCGTTCGATGTACAGGCAGAAATTGCAATACAACGGGCCCAAAATTGCCGGTCCGAGTCAGTTGATCACAAGAGACGTGACTTCGACGGTCTCGTCTATGCCAAAAGTTGTAAGGCAGGTTGCGGCTTCCGATACCTGAACGGCAAGCACAGCATGCTACCATGTCTTTCACGCTAGAGGTTGCAGTGCAATCTGCGTGCATATACATCTGGCTTTAAACGGTCGATTAACCATTATCTCGCTTGCACCATAGACTCGTTTGCGCTAGAGATTGCAGTGCAGTCGCTGTCAGCCGGCAAGCCATCAAGGGATCTCCCTTAGAGAAACATCTACTTGAGCCGCATGATCTCAAATTGCGGATTTAGAAGTCCTTGAATATTCACGACATCCGCGCTAAGGATTGCAGTATCTCAACCTTGGAGTTCCCGCGAGACGTCCTCGAGGTCACCGGTCATGCAGCCTAACAACTCATTCAGCAAAACCCTCTCTTTGTGCGCACGCGGAATCCTGGAGTATAAAAGGCCCTAGTTAATGTATCTGGATGGCTCATCGCATAGTGGTTACTTCAACGTCAAAGTTGCAGTACGGGTTGCGGCCTTTGATGCCTGGGCGACAACGCAGCTGTCATGCTACCGCCTCTTCCACGCTAGAGATTGCAGTGCACTTCCGAATCCAGCTGGAGCAGGACAAAGCTGTCACCCCCACAAGAATGTTGGAACAAGCCTGACCCTGAACAACCGATTGGCCATCTACTTGCTTCGAAGACAGGCCCGTATGCGCTAAAGATTGCAGTGTAGCGAAGACCACAAACGCGCAACTACAAAGCTGTCGCCCACCTCAGCCGTGCGCACTTCGATCCCCGGAAGCTGTCTCCAGATCGTAAGAGGTCTTTCCGTCGCAACCCATCATGACGCAATGCGGAACAACACTTGCAGGATCGCGTAAAGACTAAAAGCAGTTTATTGAAACGAACCTTCGTTCCAATAGTGCACTATGTGAGGCGCGTCAATAGAAAGTGATGGGAAGTCGCGTCGGACCAACGCGCACCACAGCAATCACGCTATGACGTATGCCAACCGAAGCGAGCATCCTCAACATCTTTCTCCTTGAACTACACGCCAACGTTTCGCATCATATTTGCTGCTTGTACAGCAAAATTTCAATCATTAAAACGCATTTGACTGATCGCACCGCACAACCATGACACCCACAAAAAAGCGCCTCGAAAAAGAATACCAAAGCCTCCGCAAAACCCCCGCAACCGGCTACCACGTCTCCCTAAAACACGGCGACATCTTCGAATGGACAGGCACCCTGCACGGCCTCGACGCCTCCCCCTATGAAGGCGGCACCTTCGCCTTCCACATCCAATTCACAGACGAATACCCCGAGGCACCGCCCAAAGTCAACTTCACGACTAAGATCTACCATCCCAATGTTGATGGCAGAACGGGGGTTGTGAGTTGGAAGATGTTGGGCGTGGATTGGCATCATAATAATACGATGGAGAAGGTATTGATAGGCTTGAGGACGTTGCTTGATCATCCCGAGTTGGAGAGTGCGGTCGAGGTGGGGATTGCGAATGAGTTTGCGAATGAGAGGGGGGTGTTTGAGAAACATGCGAAAGACTGGACGCAGAGGTGTGCTAAGGAGGGTTCTGTGTCGACTGGTTTCACGTAAAGAAAGAGAGGGCGACTTGTCGTATGGAAGACGGCGAGACGCTGGAGCTTATTCAGATGCGCCTTTCTCGCGGAGAAGCGCATCTTCATGCTGTTATCCTTGTCGGCCGTGAGATATCCGCAATTACTCCGCAAGATATCCTTCTCGGTACTCATGCTGGTAGTGTGTTATCGCTCTCATAGTATTATAATAGCTACAGGCATTATCAAAGGCTTATACGAGGACCGATCAAGGACCGCCCCTGGAGGTCGCCTGATTGAGGTCTCAAACTCGGCATGGTTTCGCTCGGCTTCCACTCAACCTTTACTGCCTTATTGTCACACTACAAAGTTAATAGCTTTGACTCGGACATATTTCCCATTGTCACAATGGTGGAGCGGAACGCGGCGCTGACTACCACTGAGTAGCGGCAACATAGTGACTGAAGAATGCATACACCTGTACTCATTCCACAGCATCACAGTACCACCGTTCATAAGGCGAGGAAACCTAGTTCCAGTAATCACCCCACTAATTCACTCCTTCTCTTCACCTCGAAAGAAAAACAAGTACAAGAGTTTGCCTCCAGCCTCAAATTTACAAAACCTCCAAATCCCATCGAATCTGCTCAACATGGACCAAACCCGCGCAGAGACAATCACCGATTTCTTCCAAACGCTCATGGACATCAACGTCAAGATCCCCAAGCTAGCTCGTGGCATGGAAGTAAAGCTACTAGCTGCATGTATGGATGCAGGTGTGGCTCCCTTCTGGGATGACTTCACTGAACTTTCTTGGCCGCAGCTGCTTACTCTGGCTAGGAAGATGGAGCATGAGGCGGCGGATATGGTTAACGCTAAAATGCAGGGCAATAATTGGGATAATGAGGATATGAGGGAGCAGAAAATGGAGTATCTTAAGGCTGTGGCAAAAGTTGGGCCTAATGCGACACCGAAGGGATTGGAGAACTTTGCGGGAAGGGCGAAGATGATGTTGGAGCAGGGTAAGATGGAGATGGAGATTGAAAAGGGTATGTCGGGATTGAAGGTGTGAGGTGACGGGATGGTCATGATATATACGAAGGAACGAATGATAGAAGCAAACAAAAGCTTTATCGACACCTGGTAGTGATGAATCGCGAGCACTAGTAGTCCGAATGTTTGTTCCTGCCAAATGTCAATCCAATGCGATGTGAGGTTGAACAGTGGTGACTTACGGACTAATCTGAATGCGATGGAGGTAGCATCGTTATCCACGACCCAAGCCACTTTGGTCTTGAATCATCAATCTCACTCGCTGTTTGAACATCTGAACACATTTTCCGCACCACTTACACAGCGATAGTCGTAAGCTGCTCCGCCTCCAAGTACAATATTGAGCCAGAGCATTGCTTTCTTTCAGTCCAGAGTTATAACATATCCCAGTTACACAACACAAGATCGACGGGTTTTGCATCGTAATCACGTCGTCACCGAAAATCCCCTCAAGGTGTCAACTGACGATACTCCTCGACCGTCTCACTGAAGCAGTGAGTAGTCTGTATCCACTGTAGAAAGTGGTTGCCAGCTTGAACATATCGAGTCTCTTGCTCCTGATACGTCAAAGGCGTGCCGATGTACTTTTGTTCAAGGTCGCTCGACATGCGAGCTTCCAATCTGGACACGAGATCGGCCACCTCGGCTGGCTGAAGAAGGAGTTGATCAAGATTGTGTGTGGCGCTCACGCTAGAGTTCATGGCGTTGATGGAATACGTAAGGGCGGAGATGAATGCGTCCTTGATGTCTTGGACTGGTGGAGGAGGGTGAGAGTGATACTCTGCATCAGCAGTATGAGCAGCGCCGCTGTCGCCACGCAACCCAAACGCATCGACGACACGTCCCTTCGCCGACGAGATGAAGTTCCTCAGACGCCGATGGTAGCCTTTCACTTTGTTCACAAACGAGTTCAGTCTGCCGCAATCCCGGAGTTCAGACTCAGACTGGCTATCGTACGCTCTTTCGATTGCCGCGTCATCTCGCTCGAAGATTGAGTGCTGCATCGCGGAGTCGATACGGTGAAGGACTGCGAGTTCGTCTTGATGAACCATGTCCATCATCTCTGAGGGTTGTAAGCGTTCTTTCTGCGCTGGCCTTGCTTTGTCGTTCATGCGCTTCGCCTTGCGTAGCATACGACAGAGAAAGTGTCGGCGCTTGTCGACCGATAAGCCTTGAAGCGAAGGTGGGGCTTTCAGAGGGTTGAGGGCGTCGAATTCTTCTTGGTTGAGCGTTGGATCGGCCCAGCTATTGTGAGCGGATACGTCGGCCATCTCGACGTCTCTGGAGTACAAGACCTCTTTCACTCTTGCTAGGAAGTTGCTTGCGTTGCTCAGAGCGATGAGCTCCGTTTGTACCCCGTCTTTGTATTTCTCATCAAGCCACGTGTCTGACGGCGGATTAGAACGAGATGACACTTCCGTGTCTATGTCGTGGAGAACCTTGGCATCCAGACCGTGCGTCAGCTCGTAAAGCCCGTCCTGATCGAGCAGCATGCCCTGGAAGGGGCTTAATTCGCAGTGCATTCTTTCCACTTCGTCATGGAAGAACTCCAGCCCTTTTAGGCGAAGCTCGTAAGAGATTCCGTCGAGGTAACCGTGATCCCCTTGCCTTGGCGCTAACTTCGTGTGTGCAGGTGAAGTCGACTCCGGAGATGCATTACCAGGCTGGAATGTGAATACAGCGCCAAGAAAAGGCGAGGTTCCGGATCCTGGAGCGGAATTGGTGTGTACGTCCGGAGCACCATCGAAGTCATAGTCCATGTCGTCCGACTCAGCTGCAGTGGTTGCATTGCCCTCATGGCTACCACTCCAGTTGAAGCCAGTTTTCATCGGAAGTGTGGTGGTCTGCATGTGGCCAGCGGCTGAGCCCGGAATCACATTCCGCTTGGCAGCGAGGATGGCTGCAGGCACAGGCACACCCGAGCAATCACTGACCTTGGAGACAAAACGGCTGATCAGAGCGAAGAAAGCCTGCTTGTCTGATATATGTTCAAGCTCGAACTTGATAGCAGCGATCGATTCCTTGTACCGATCGTCAGTGATGGCGATGTCCGTGGCGGTGATGTGGTACTCAATGGCTTTGCTCAGTATGCCCTCAAGCGAATCCAAAGCCTCCTTGTCGTTGTGGAAAATCCTCTCCCTGCGGAAGATGCTGTTCAGGTATGAACCGATGTCTCTGACGCCCAGCTTGCGGACTCGCTTGGGAAGAGTAGAGCCGACGGCGTATATGAAAGTGGTGCGCTGAATGTTCTTGTCGATGGCGAGGTCGGTGAAGCCGCTGAGCGCTGCCTTGACGTGTGCGAGATCATTGCGAGCTGCGAGTTGTGCAGGCTATGAGATGTTAATCACGAGTCTAGTTATGATGACGCGATACCAACCATAGACGAGCTATACGATGCGCCGCTGGCGAACATGGTAGCAGTGTCCATGGCCTTTGTGATGTCAGATCTTGACCCATAGAGTTAATAATAACGCCCTTACAAGACTGCTGTCGACAAGTCTGTGCTCGGAGGTGATGATAGTGGACTGTACACGCGTCTGTAATAAGGAGTGGCGACGGAGGACCAGTGGGGAGCGATTTGTCTAGCGAAGACTGTGAAGTGCACAGCGGATGGAAGTCTGTGATAGAAGAGATCAACTGATGGAAGTGCTGACTGTTCTGGGAGCGTGGGCGCAAGAAGTGTGTCTGTGCCAGTGGTGTTGAGCTGGGTAGCAGAGGGGCGATGGTAGTTCACAGCGTCAGAGGCGGCGCGGGTTAAAGCATTGTTCGAGTCGCCAAGACTACCAGCAAAGCGCGTTGCGGGTCAGGAGCTATTGTAGCTATTGTGGCAGGTATTCGTGGTAGTGAAAGTGCAAAACGGCCGAGCACCAGCGCAAAGTGAGCGGCAGACGAGCGTGAATGAAGATACGCGCTCGATCTTACCATGTTTTGCTGAACAGTTTCCATAAGCTCATCCACAAGGTCACCAGTATGAGCACTTATCCATGACAGTGGTACGATTGGCATGATCTTCTTGGAGTTCTGATTTCTTGGCGCTGTCTGCGCGGGATATCACAGCTCTCCGTTTAGGTGTTTGCGTCCTGCATCATCCGTAGTATGTACAATCGCTGTATCCAATATCGATCTCGATTGCTTGTCATGCAATTCACACCCCTCCTGATGCCCATCAAGAGCTCAATGGTCCCATGGGTGCTTCCAGCCGAGGAGCGCTGGGCCATCCTTCTTCGCGCGGTACATCAACTGCCATTGTTAGCGCTATGCCACCTTCGTTTCGTTCATTCCACATACGAAGAACCACATGGATGCGCCGAGGCCAGTAGCCATGAATCGGTAGAGCGGTCGGACTGGGTGGATGTGGATGGGGTGGTTCGGGTGCGGCGCATATTTGGGCGGGCCCATGCGGGCTCGTGTGGGTTGCATGATGTCTGTGAGCCTGGCAAGGTATCAGTATCGTGAGATGTCTCCCGAAGGTAGTGAGGTATCGTACCTGGTTGCTATGGGGTGCAATGGCCTGTTGACGTCTTTCGTGATGGACGTGTGGTTAAGGTCGATCGGAGGCTACGCTAGCGTGCGGCGCCAAGCCAGTGCCATCAACCGTGGATCGCGTTCTTTGCTCCTTCACCCACGATGATGTCTTCGCCTATCATCATGCACACACAATAGCTTCTGCCTCCTAAACCCCATCCATGGCAGCGCATGCCACCGCGACCACGTAAACCTCGTTACATCACGCCACCGGGTTCGAGAAATAGCCCGACTCTCCTGCGGACATCTGCGCCGAGGACCACTAGCAGCCGGTACAAAGCGTAACCGCGAACTCTCCATCGCGAACCCAAGCCACCACCACCGCCGCCGACATGGCGAACTCGGCAGGCGCGACGCCATCGCAAACCCTCCAACGACGCTTCAAAGGATGCAGCAAGATCGGCGAATACGAAATGATGAAGAAGCTGGGAGAGGGCACTTTTGGTGAAGTCCACATGGCGCGACAAAAGGCGACCGGCAGTATCTTTGCGCTGAAGAAGATCTTGATGCACAACGAGAAGGATGGCTTCCCTATTACGGCGCTGCGAGAAATCAAGCTGCTCAAGATGCTATCGCACGACAACGTCCTCAAGTTGGAAGAGATGGCCGTGGAACGACCAAAGACCGAGGGCAGGAAACGCGCCATCTTGTACATGGTCACGCCCTACGCCGACCACGATCTATCAGGTCTCCTCGACAACCCCGAAGTCCAGTTCAAGGAGGCGCAGATCAAGTGCTACATGCTGCAGCTGTTCAAGGGTCTGCGATACCTCCACGATAACCACATCCTACATCGAGACATGAAGGCCGCCAATCTTCTCATCAACAACCGCGGACGGCTACAAATAGCAGATTTCGGTCTTGCGCGACACTACGACGAGGCGGTACCACAACGAGGCAGGGGCAATGGCGAAGCGAAGCGCGAATACACTACATTGGTTGTGACTAGGTGGTATCGGCCTCCAGAGCTTCTTTTGCAGCTCAGGAAGTACACCCCGGCTATCGACATGTGGGGTGCGGGTTGTGTGTTTGGAGAGATGTTCAAGCGCAAGCCCATCCTCGCAGGACAGAGCGACATTCACCAAGCCCAGATCATCTTCGAGCTTGTAGGATCGCCCAACGACGACAGCATGCCGGGGTGGCGCGATCTGCCTGGCGCGGAACCTATACGCGCATTCCCCGTTCACACCGGTACTATCGCTCAACGGTTCCGCGAACTCTCGCCTGTCGGACTATCGCTCATCAAAGACCTCATGAGGCTCGACTGGCGGAAACGAATCAACGCTATTGATGCCATCGACCATCCATACTTCCGAGAGCAGCCACTTCCCATGCGCGAAGAAGACATCCCCACCTTTGCGGATTCACACGAGCTAGATCGACGGAACGCGCGAGGCCAGAAGCAAGCACTACCACCAGCACCACAAGGCGGCACAGTCGGCGGCGGACCAAACGGCGAATGGACCGGCCAAGGCCCACCACCACAATCATGGCAGAACGGCGACCGAAGATACGGCGGCCCACAAGATCGTGGTCCACCAGGCGTCGACAGAGGCCAAAGAGGAGGCTACGACCGCCGCTTCGAACACCGACCTCCACCCCCACCACCAGGCGGTGACCGCCGACCGAACTGGGGCAACGGCGCAGACAGAGGCCACAACGGTCTCCCACCACCTCCCGCAGACGGCCGTCACCCCCTCCCACCCGTCCCCCGCTACGGCCCCGATGGCGCAGACCGCCGAAGACAACCGCCAGCTACTGCAGGCGGCGACACATACATACCCAGCTACGGCGCAGAAGGCCCACGCCGCTCCCGCGAACCAGACGATCGACCCCGCCGCGGCTCGCGCGACTCCGGTAACTCGAGAGAAGGCTACACAGATGACCGCTCAGACCGCAACCGCGCGTACAGAGATCGACCTGACCGAAATGACGCGAGAGGCTTTGCGAGGGAACGAAGAGACGGACGGACACGATCGCGCAGTCCAGACCGCAGAGATCAAAGACGCGATAACAGAGACAACAGAGAAAGAGATGCGGATATCTACCGTAGACGATAGGTCTGCTACGGATGCAATAACCGAAAAGCGCACGACGGGATTTACGCCATTGGTACCTGTACTGGGACAAGGTTTCAACAGACACTCGATGAGCGGAACAATACGTGGCAGTTCGAGAGCTTCGCTGTCAAGATGCGCGTGCGTGAGAGGTGGGGTGCTGCGGCTGAACCTGTGGTTTATTAGGATGAAGAACGGGTGGCTGCCGAGATGGGCATGGGCGTTTCTGGGTGATTGGTTGGGGGGTTGAGCATTTTTATGGCGTATTTGACTTCTTGGGGGGGGATAGGGGAAGGTTGAGGGGGAGGAATGGGATTTTTGGCATCGATACCAGTGGTACTGTACGATATGATATATCAGATTAGTGAGTAAGTGGTAGTAAGAAACATACATCACATTACAGCTTCAAAAGCAACGCGTGGTTTACGTAGATCATGCAACACAGTATAGTCAAGGCTTGGTGGTTTGATTAATTTTAGGGGTCAGTGTATACATTTCTATATTCAAGGATCAGCTTCAAATCGATATGTTGGCGTTTATGTGAGAAGCTGAACGGCATTGACAGCCATGTGGATGGTGAGAGTCACGTGCGAGCGCTCATCTTGCCCCACCTAGATCGCCACCAACCGACGCTTCCTTCAACACCATCACGCACCACAGCTTGTAATGCGCAGCAGCCCAACCCCAACCCCAACCAACATCGATGTCGATGGTGATACCGATGACAGATTATGCTAGACTCGATCGATGAAGGTGGGGGCGCAGCCAGCAGCGATTGGGCTGCTGAGGATAGAGGCGTGCACTCAGCCTGCTGATGTAGCGAGTCGCGACTGCCCATTGAAGCGGCTGACAATGTAGGCACAGCAGGAGAGGCTTGGCAGATTCAGCCTGGTGGTGTACCCCGCAGTCCGGTGAAGAGGGTGGTTCCTTATCCCTTCACTTCATGCCTCCAGTGCAATTCCGCTTTCACTTCACATATCTCGTCTGCAAATTTGAGACTTGCGACGCTACTGTTGAGAGTGACAATACCTCGTTCATCACTGCGACCTTCTCATCCTTGGATCAACCACCACGATTAAGACGCATACGCCTTTGGTAATCTAGTGAAGTTGCCACACTTTCCTACGATCTCTTCTCGACTCAGACCGTGGGTCTTTTATGACAGTCCAGGTTTCTCAGCTGTCTTGGAATGCAGCTGTTGCGCCTTCTGGACGATGCCTCGGTGCTCTGAGTGTAGCGGGGTCGCAATTCGGGATTCGTCGTATGACCTTCGTACATGGTCCTCTGGACCCGAACTCATCAGGTCTGCTGACAGTGGTTGTGACCTGTGCTCATTCATCCGGAAAGATTTAGAGAAGGTTTCCGTGGCGAACGTTCGACGCATCAAGGATGAAGCCCCGATCGTGCTCAGAGACTGCCTTGAGCAGATCACTCTTTATGCCAATAACACCAGCTTGAGCCTTGTTGTTATGAACCATAACTATTGGTGGCACAGATTCGATCTCAGCCGGGCCGTTTCTCCCGCGTCCATGGAGAACAAGGAGCTTGCTACACCTTGCGACCCGATCTTGCGTGCCTGTGAGCTTTTGGAGGCCTGCGAGGTCAACGGCGACGACGAGCATGATCACTGCATGCCATGCGACATGGATCCAGCAGCGAAGGCAATCTCGCTTCCACGCCGTCTGCTCGATCTTTCTCACGACGATGTCGTCCTCACGATTACCACAGAAACATGGATCACTGAGAATCGCGCCACCGTCGAAGAGCTTTCGGACTACTGTACTTTAAGCTATCGCTGGGGCAAAGGACCACCAGCTTGTATGTTAAGGGCGCAGTATACTAAGGAACGCGTCATGTCCATTGCTTGTATGCCACGAACATTCCAAGAGGCGATAATGATTGCACGGGGTCTGGGAATACGTTTCCTTTGGATCGACGCCTTGTGCATAATCCAGCCTAGCGCACACGGAGATTATGCCGACTGGAATCTGGAAGGACCGCGGATGTGGCTTGTTTACCAGAATGCGATATGCACTATCTCTGCTACTTGCTCCAATGACCCCAATGACGGGTTCCTGCGAAAGGTTGGGACTGACTACAATCCGCCATGTGGCATCCCCAATGACGGGTACTCGGGAATGTTTGCGTCTGACTACGATTGGTCATGTGGCATCTCCATTGAAAGAAGGCAAATTGAAATGGAAGGGCCTTTGCTCGCTCATTCTAGTACATCGACATTGTACGAGTCGGTGGTAGCTTCATCCTTGAACAGACGCGGCTGGGTTTCACAGGAGCGCCTACTCTCGCGGAGAATACTACATTTCTCCGAAGAAGGGGTCTTCTGGGAATGCCAACAAGCTGTTGGATTTGAGGACCCTGGTGCAGCCAACACTTCCGAAGTCGGTCAGAATCAGGGAGCCCATCATGCTTCCTCAATGATTTTCGAAAATTGGCTACCTTTCATTGAACTCTATTCAATGTCGGCATTCACGCTACAAACAGACCGTTTGATAGCCCTATCGTCGATTGCAAAGTGTGTGACAATCGAACATTTTGGGCATGCATATTACGCTGGAATATGGGGGGAGCATCTCCTCAGATGTCTCTCCTGGGGTGCCATTGCTCCGTGTTCCGTTTCATCACGAGAAAAGTGTCTTACTATTGCGCCATCTTGGAGCTGGGCATCGGTGACTGGCGGAATCCGTTACCCTACACGTAGTTTCGGTGCACATTCGGAAGCGTTGGCGGAGATGATTGACGTGCAAACGGTATCAGCTGAGGCCAACAACCGGTATGGAAACTTAGCGAAGGCCACCTTGAAGCTGCGTTCTCCGCTTTGTAGTATGTCTTTGCCGACAGACGGAAACTTTTGTCCCGAATTCAGTGAGCCATGTTTCTCCATTTTCGAGACAACCACCGCGGAGCTAGCCTGGGACGAGGTTCAAGACCCTCTCATCGCGATCAAGGTATACACTGTTGTTCTGATCGGCATAATCAAACACGGCGAGAAAGCAATCGCTTATGACGCTCTAGTTGTCAAGCGGTTACTATCAACAAGCAGTGAAGACGGAGAGAGTTCGTGTGCGGTGTATCGACGCATTGGGCACCTTTGTTACTGGTTTTTTGAAGACGACACAAGTTTGGAGTTCTTTCCAGGTAGACGAGATCTTTATCCATTGTACGACACGTTGTTTCCCAATACGACTCTGCAGACCATTGTCATAGAGTAATACAATTTAGTATACTAGCAGTTTGTCTCTTACACGCTTAACACGCCCTGAGGAACGAGAGTAGACGAGGAAGAGTTTATGACATCATGATGCGCACTGAACCTAAGCTAGGTAAGTACAAGCTTCTACTCCTGCTTGAACTATATGCTCGCGACATGCGAACTATATGCTCCCGACATGCGCCACTGTAACATTTCTCAAATCACGCAGCGAACCGCTCGACTCAAGGATCTTCAACAGCAGAGTCGGATAGTCCCAGCCCAAACCAGCAGCAGCCAATGCCGTCAAGCTAGCTTGGTTCTCTCTGCCAGGCCGACCAGGACCTGTCATATTCTGGTCACAGTTTAGCCATGTTATCAACGGCAGGTCTCAATTGACCTACCGGTTTCATATTGACATCGAAAAGAGCGAACGGTGACGATTCATCCTCTGTGAACCGACGAGCGTCAACTCGGATAGGAGCAGTACATTGAAGCAACTTCGCCACCTCAACACACTGTCGCTGTATCTCACCATACTGTGGATCGGCCATGTGTTCGTCTTTGGAAAGACAGCGAGAGTTCTGAAGCACAGCGACTGTGCCATTATACGGTGCAACACCTGTGTGTAGTCAGTGAGCATTACTCACGCTTTTCCAAGTCCACAAAATCAACCCACCTTCAGCGTGATTAAACCGTTCCACAACCGGCATCGCCCAATACCCATCCTGACCCGTTGCAGGCAAAGGCGGCATAACAGTAACAGTGACTTCCTGACCCGCAAGAAATTCTTCGACGATCACGTACTCATCCTCTCCCAGTAAATCGCCACAATGGTCGATCAGTTCGTCTTCGGAGCGACAAACTCTCACTCCGTGGCTTCCTCGTCCTCTAACCGGCTTAGCGACAACAGGATACCGAAGATCCGCCTGGAGCACATCCCCGAGATCTTCCTCATCAATCATATCCCGCGCACCCGGCAGCGTAAACCCACCACGAGCACGAAGAAGATTGTTAACAAACGCCTTGTCATCGCACAGTTCGACCAACTTCGGCGGCTGTCCTACAACCTTCAATGTCTCAGCCACACCCGTCAAGCTGTCTGTCGTCTGAAGCGGATGCTTCGCAAAGAGTATAGTGTTAGCCCAGAGATGCGTCGCTCCCTTCTCCAGCGCCCACGCAATCTCAGTCTCTGTATCTCCAAAACACCACTCTTCATCTTTTTGTGGGTTTGAGGCGGAGGCGGGTGTGATGACGGAGACGGGGCTGTGGTGTTGGTGGGTTAGTGCGTGGGCGATGTCTGCGCTGGAGTCGATGTAGCCTTGGTAAAGATGTTAATGTTGCGGGAAAGGTTTCTGTATAGACGAAGACCAAGTACCTCCGGGTTTCTTGGGCTTGCGCACTCCTTGAATCAGTGGTACATCGAGTTCTTGGTATAGGACTGCTACGCGTGGCGCGGTGGTGGTGTACATGTGTCGACGGGTAGTGGGCACACTCAGACGGCGTCCAAGAGCTGATTTCGCACTGCGTTTCGTGAGACTGATCATGACTGATCAGCAAGCTAGAAGTATTAGGGATTGGTCGGAATGGTGGTATCGAAGTACAAGATCGCGCTGGGAAAGGTCCGACGAGCGTTCGGAAACGTTTCCGAGCATCCCGTGCACCAGAAGATTTCACGACTTCTGCACAAAGTCGGATCGCACCAGCGACTATGATTTCATTGTGGAACCAGTGAGCGCTCTCAATTGTAGTACGCACGTGGCTGAAAGGCCTCGTCCAGGCTAGAGATTGCAGTGCATGTCTGTATTTGCTTAAAAGTCGTTGCATTGGTACTAGTACCTTTTTCCAGGTACCGTGTCGCTGGCTACTCCCGAATCTAACCCGCGTAGCTCGTTACATTGCACGACGAGACTTTGGAAAAGTCACACATTACTGGCTACTTGGTTGGGACTCACACCTGCTGCTCTGCGCTAAAGATTGCAGTGCAGCACTTTTGGGACAAGGATAGAGTGCCTGTTTGAGTCAAAGTGCGACCGGCCAGGCTCTGGTTCGACTGGTTATTGAGATTGTGCTTTGGTATAATCAATACGTCGCGAATGCTAACATAGTCCTGCGAAGAGCCGAACAACACGAAATGTTGCGCTTTCATGTTGTCAAAGCCATTCCAGTCTTAGTACGTGGGTGAGACGGCCTCTTCAACGCTAGAGATTGCAGTGCAGTTAGAGCCGCATCACCAGGAAAGCGACCACGCAAAGTAGAGCCGTATTGTCAGTAGAACGATAAACGACCAGAGTCGCCTCGATGACCACCAATGAGGACCCCGGTGACTTGGCAATGTAGACCCCTGTTCTCAGCTTCACCGGTGGGCTGCAGCAGTGCATGGTCATCCAACCACCATTCCTGCGCGTCGTCCCCGTTGTACCAATGATTCCCGAGGCGGATGTGGCCTGAACCCGTGTGGCTTGCAGTGATGCGTAGCAAGGCGGTGGAAAAAGAACGTGGGTTATTGGCCGCTTCCGCCCAATACATCCCGCTCGTTGGTGCTAGAGATTGCACTACATGCCTCTTTGGTCCCCCCATCTAGACATCGCGCGGCCTGGGACGATGTATTCAACGCTAAATATTGCAGTGCAGCGTACCTCGTTCAGCCATGTTCCACTCTCCTAGGTTTCAGCTGTACGCGGATGCTGACCGGTCGCTACCTAGGTAAGAAATTCCAGTCTGGATGTGCATGTGGCTTGTTGTCATAACCAATTACTGTGCTTTGCACAAGCCTTTTAACAGCCTTCAAGTCCTTAGACAGCTGTATAGTTGCCTACTTCCCTTACATACCTTCTCTTCTATGCTAGAGATTGCAGTGCAGTTGCCTTTATGCATCGTACGACATGGGTCCGAGACGACTTTCCCACGCTACAGATTGCAGTGCAGCAGAACTGTATGGATTAATGAACTGCGGATGGATGCGACCATCGCTTAGCCCCACACCCTCACAGCCGCTTTATCAACGGAGGTTGATGTTCTTGTTATAGCACTGCGACGCGTGGCGCTGGAGTCGCGTACATGGACCAACAAGCTGCAGCAACGCTCCTCTTCTGTGAGATTATTGCAGCCGAAGACGTCTAAAGCGCTTAAACAATGTAGAGAAACTGATGTTGAAGTAAGAAGTTGAGTACGTTCAGCGCTGAGAAGCTCTGAAAACCTTGAAGATGTTTCGAGCCCCGAAGCCCTTTCGACCCTGGTCCACATGAGGCTGAGAGGACGTCTTCTACACTAGAGATTGCAGTGCAGATCAGCGCTGCACCGCTGGCCACCCTCCAGGTATCCGTCTGCTGATCACTCCCTAACCCAGTATAGGCTGAGCCTACATGGCTTACAGCAATGCGTAACGGGGCTATGCAAAAGTCCTACATCATTGGCTGCAACTTTCGCGTAAGTGCTCGTCGCCGCTAGAGAATGCAGTGCAGTTGGTCGAGTTCGGTTGAGCGGCAGTAAGATGATCCGATGTCAACGTTGGTTGCAATGACCAATTGCGGTGCTCTACATAAGCCTTTTCACAGCCTTTGCATCCTCGGAGAGAGCCGCAAGGTTGACTTCCTTCCCCATGTACAAGCTCGTTCGCGCTAGAGATTGCAGTGCAACAAGTCGTCGTGGCCCTGGTCCTGCCTTCCGCACAGCTGGTAGCAACGCCTGACGAGGATATGCAGAAGTGCTGTGTCATTGGGTACTTCTTTTACATACACGCCTGTTCCTTTGCGCTAAAGATTGCAGTACATTGCTTTTCCAATGTGGATTAAACATCCCACTCCGGCCGACACCGACACCCCCTCCGCCTAACATGCAACACCCCTCTCTCCGCCGCCCTTACCATCCAATCCACCCACTCAATCTCATGTTCAACAACCCCCCTCCACTCCCCCGTCTCAATCCTCTCTTGCTGACTCTTCACAAGCCAGTCCCTCAGCCTCCTCACACACATCTCTAAACTCTCCGCTACACTATCTTCCGTCGCACCAGGCTTCTGTTGCTCCAGATACATCATCCGCTCCATGCGTGTCAAGAGGGCGAGTTGGATAGAAGCCGATTCTGTGTATTTGGAGAGGAGTAAAGTGGCGGAGGCGCGTAGGGCGAGGGCATCTTCGCGCGTTGCGGTTGTGCAGGGAAGGTGTCGTTGTGGGCGGGCGAGGTGGAAGGAGCCTGGGGGGCGGAGAACGACGAGGTCGTCGAAGGAGGTGGTTGGGGTTGGTATTGTTGTTGTGGAATCTCGTGATGATGGCCTGGTTGAGGAATGTGATTGTTGGGATAGGTGAGATTGTTGCCCGTGTTGTGATTGTTGTAATCCTGTCGCGCCGTTCCAGTTCAGATACGGGTTGCTATCCAACGACCTCGTGGTGTGTAGTTCAGACGATTGATCATCAGCGTCCCCGCACTCGGTGTCGGGGTAGTCGTCTGAATCGTACATGAACGTCTCCGAGTAACTGAATCCATAGCCTTCTCTTTTCTTGCCCGGTTTGATCAAGACCGGAGGCTGGTGGTAGATGGACGTTTGTGGTTGGATTGGTTGGACCGGAGATGCCTTGGTGGTAGACTGCGAACTCGACGAAGAGAAGCTGGCACCGGGGGTCATGGTCAGTCCCGAGAAACTTTGGTTGAAGTTGTTCTCGGAATGGACTTGTCGTTCGACATCATCGATGAAAGACTCGGAGAAGGAGAAGCGGAGTTGGATGTTTGATGATGGTGGTGGCTGGCTCTCTGGTGGACTGTTCTTGAGGTCACGTGCTGGTATTGAGTCCCGTTGCGATGGCATGGTCGGCGCTGGTCTGTGTGATAAGGGGTTGTTGTTTTGCTGCTGCGGCGATATGAGCCCGGGTGACTTTGCGCCATTGATACATAGTACTTACAGGCCCTCGCCACCTAGGCGGCCGCTTGCTCTTTCCCTCGATTGCCCGACGCTCTTGTAACTTTGTCTGTTCTACAGATACTGGAAGAGCAAGTACATCGATGCTTCTGCTTCTGCGTAGGCTAACTTGTCGCTGCTTTGTTGGACCTTCTCTTCTCTGTTTGACATCAGTCCCATGATCATTCAACGCGCAAGTTGACTTACCTTTACAGGCATGACCGGAGTATGCATGCGCGTCGCGCGTATGAGATATTCAATATACCGATGTGGTCGCACGTGTTTCGTATAGGAAGCGGGGACGGGGATATCGTCAACTTTGGGGAACGCGACTAAGATAACTGTGTTGATTGTTGATGCGTCGTGTATATATCCCGGGGTACGTCAATCGGAAGGCGCGTCCGAGTCGCGTGAGTGTTGACTAGCGTGGTTAGCGCAAAACACGACTCTTGTCCTATCACCACGGTGATCTTGAGTATCCTGAGACATGTTGCCCCACTTTCTTGTAGTGTATCATCACGGCCGCGATTTTTGGGTGGTGCGGATGTAGTCTTGTCGCATTACTTTTGCGCATTCCAATGGTATCATTTCTAGCAATTCGCTCTTGTCCTCCTTCCATAACTAGTGTCGCGAACGTGCTACTTCTTTCCGGTCTCCAACAGTTCAACACCTGTCCTCACAACGCCGATCGCTGCGCCCGTCTGTATGGCTTCGTTACCACCTCCACTTAACCTGTACTCGATGTCTGCCAGACCCGCCATCCAAGTCACCATGACCTGCGGCGGCACGTCGTTGCTGACTAGCTCCTCGCTGATCGCTGTCAGAATATCTGCCAGCGCGAGCCCCTTCATGATCTTCAGGTTATTGACCGTGCGCAAGCACTCTGTCATGTCGTTCTTCGATAGTAACGTCTCGATGATGTACTTGATGTCTGACGGGTGTGGTGCTGCTATGCAATCGTAGATGGTCGTCTGCGTGATCTCGTCGCGTACGATTGTGGATGGGACGGGTGCGGGCTTGCCGGGTGTCTGGAGCGGTGTGCTTGATGCGTGACAGGCCTGTATTACGTTAAGTGCCCGTCTCATGTCTCCTTTGCTGAGCGTGACGAGTGAGTCGGTTGCGTCTTGCGTGATGTTGACCTTCTCCTCCTCAATGACCTTGTCGACCAAGTTCCTAATGTCCTGATCCTTCAGCGGGGAGAATCGGAACCTCGTGCATCGTGATAATAAGGCTGGCGAGAGCTTGTGTGTGTAGTTGGCGATGATACAGAAGCGAGTGTTCGCGGTGTACTTCTCCATGATTCGTCGCAGGGCCATCTGCGCGGTCGCAGTCATGGCATCGGCTTCGTCGAGGATAATGAGCTTGAATGTTGCCAACGATGAGTCTCCTGCCTTGGGTGCTGCAGAGAAGATCTGCTTTGTGCTACTGAACGTCTTGATCTGCTCCCGCACAACATCGATACCTCTGTCGTCTGAGGCGTTCAATTCCAACACCATCTGTCGCATGTTCTTGTTTCCGTATATGCGGCGTGCGAGTGCGAGGACGGTCGACGTCTTTCCGGTACCTGGAGGGCCGTAGAGGAGGAGATGGGGTAGTCGCTGGAACAGTCAGCTAAGCTTTCTGAGGGCAAGTTGAAGCCGTACATTTGAGTCTACAAACTTGTTGATGGTCGCTATTATGTCCTTGTGGCCTTCGACGTCATCGAGGGAGTTTGGTCGGTACTTCTCCACCCTGTCTGATGTTCAGCAGGTGTGCAGAGAACAGAATAGATTGAGTCTCACCATGGCAGGGAATCCTCAGCTTCAACGGGTAGATTTGCAGCGCTCCTCTTGCCCTTCTTTTGGTCTCCGCCGAAAGTTATCGAGTTGTCTACCGCGGGCGCGTCCACGTCCATCTCATCTTCGTAGTCGGACATTTCGATAGCTGTAATGACGATGCAGAAGTTCTTTGTATCTATCGAAGTCGAATTGAGGTCGCTAGAACGTTGATTGGCGGTATAGAGGCTGTTAGTAAGAAAATCGAGGGAGACGCGCCACGCGCAGGGACGCGTTGATGGGGCGGCTTAGTCACCCCCCGCTGCTCAGCCCTACCAGCACACCTCAGCGAGCGGAGCTGCGCCGTCACCTCCGCCGAGCTCCCAGAACACCGCCAGACACCAACAAGCTAGGCGACAACACCCAAGATGCCAGTGAGTTATAGCATCGTTGCTTCAAATTGATGCCTCAGGCCATGTTTAAACATCTAGAGCAGCAGCTGACACACCTAGGCCTACCACTCCGTCTTCCTCGATGAGCCCAATCAGCAATTGATTGGTACAGCTATACCCTCCAGCTCCGTTATGGGCGGAAGTGACTGACGGGCGCATCAGGCAACTTCGCTCTCCTCCCACTTCGCACACGCACCCGCGGCCCTGCCGTCCAGCTGCCAGCTCTACCCGCCGATGTCACAGAGCTCACCATCGATGCCTCACACGAGTCGTACGATCCGCTAGACGAGATCCTTGCCCTCTTCCGCGCCAACACATTCTTCCGCAACTTCGAGATCAAGGGCCCCGCCGACCGTGTCCTCATCTATGGCATCCTATACGTTAGCGAGGTACTGGGAAAGATCAAACCGGGCATGAGTCGGAGAGAAGCCGAGAAGGTATGCTGTCGCGAGGACGGATGAAGAAGGCGGATACTGGGAGCTGACTACATGGCAGGCTGTCATGAACATTGCGCTGGATACCAACTTTGCGATTCCGGGCGACGCAGGCTTCCCGCTCAACCAGGCCTTCGAGGCGCCAGCTGACAGGAATGGAGCTGAAGTGCTGCGACAGTACATCATGCAGATGCGACAAGAGCTAGCGACACGGTTATTGAACAGGGTATACGCGGACGAGACAAACACACCCAGCAAGTGGTGGCTCAGCTACACCAAGAGGAAGTTCATGGGCAAAGCGTTGTAGATGAGCATGGACTTGGTTACTGCGTGGTTGAGGTTGTGTGACAGATGTCGCAATCAATGAACTAACAAGACACTCTCTGGTTTGCGACAATGGTGTAGTACTACCTTCTCATCATGTTCATGTGTCCCACCTGTCAAAACGTCCTGGCCCAATCTCGACATCCTGTGATTTTGTATAATTTCCAGGGTCTAGTCACGCGCTGACGTCATGAGCTCTTGCCCTGCACTACCTGCGTTTGGGCAGCAGGCGCGGACGCTGGCGTTCTATTTGCTTGATCGCCGAAGCCTGCACTCCCGCTGCAACATCAACGCGCAACACCCATCTTCTAATTTCTAATTCCTTATCGTGCGCGCAATCGATTCGGCTCGGTCATCTTCAACTGCCCTGATCATCGCTCGCTACACATGCCCGGGCTGCCACTTGAGTCTAGTCACACGTCAGCTCCACCGACAGGCCAAACAACAGAGATGCAGGGTATGCCAAGACTTCCGGAGGTTTACGCCTGATGTCAAGCGCTAACACATGTCGAAGACGAAGATGAATGGACCGATGTGTCCGACGACATTGCTGGACTTGGTTTAAACGGCCATGGCAAGCCTGACGATGAGAGCAACAAACCGCTTTCTGAGGAAGAGCTTGCCCTACTACCCAACAGTAGGTCTTTCCACTTCACGAACACCATTCCCGTGATAGCAAGCCCCAACGCACGCCAGTCAAGGTGTTTAGCTGACCGTGCAGTGCCCATCCTCTTCAGCAACGATCTACCACCATGCGGTCTACTACCGCAACTTGCATACGAGAACACCGTCCATCGGCTGCGCAAACTCTGGCTCGAGCGCGCCCACCAAGAATCCGCGGACATCCCCCTCCCCAGTCTCTGCCGCTTAGTCCTGGACGACCTCAAAGCCGAAGAAGAAGAGCTCCCAGCCGGCAGTCAAGCCGGAACCAAGAACCGCACTCCTTGGCGACGCGAAACCGTCTTTCAGTACGAACTCCGCTGGGCCAAGTACTTTGTCCGGGAAGCCGAGACCGCGGAGAAGAGAGTCACGATGACGGAGAAGCAGCTCGACAAGCAGGACTTCATGGATAAGATGTACCCGATACCTAAGGAGTTGAAGATCTATGTCAACAACAAGAAGAATCAGAAGATGGTGTCGGATATGTGGAAAGAGTGGCATCACAAGAAGAGAGGGACCGTGGAGCAGGAGAGTGCGGGGCTGGGCGTTGGAGGTGCGAAGGAGGATGATGCGGAGCCTGCTGGGGATGATGGAGAGGATGGCGATGAGCAGGATGGGCAAAGACAGTTTGCTGAGCCGACGGCTTAGGAGCTGAGTCGGCAGGAGCTTCATGAATGGCTGCTCGGTTTGGGTTTGTGAAATGTCTTGTAATGGGTCTTGTTTTTGAGAGTATTCGGTACCTTGATATCTTGCTTTCACACCTTCTTCTGCATCAAAGGAATACAGCGCGAAGTGTTGGGCTCGTGTCCGTGGGTTTGTGCTTGCATCAAGGGCCTAGTTAAAGGCTAGTAGATTAACTAACAGGGAGATTTTGGCAGCTTTGTGGCAGTGAAGATGACTGTCCAACTGCTACCAATGTCAACTACCCCCATCACCCGCAAATCACTCATCCATCTTCGCCAGATCACTGCGTTCCTCGCTCCTCTCAGTACTGTCCAGCGGCCGATGTCCCTTTATTCCACCTTCACCTCGCCTCCACCACCATGGCTTATCATCAAGCGAGCTGCTAGCGCCATCTCCACTGCCAGAAAAGTGCCAGTCTCTCACCTTCACCTCGTCGCGCGCTCTGCCTCCCCAACCCCGCCAGCAGGATATAAAACCCCGCTCTCCCACCTTCCTTACTTCTCTTCCTTCCCGTCCCCAACGCACACCATCAATCGCCCACAACGCATCTTGCACAAGCTCTCTTCCTGCCTTCGCTCTTGCATAGAACTCAGCTTCGCTTTAAGCCACCAAAACAAACACCGCAAAGTAAGTTCATCTAGCTCTTCATGTAGCACATGTACTCACTGACATACCAGACCCAACTCCAGCATCACTGTCAAGATGGTTAACTGGACCGCCGATAAAGACCAGGTCGTAAGTTCATCTCACATGCCACTGGCTTACCATTCACATCGTCTCAGCTGCTGATCAAACCGCTAGATTCTCAAGGGAATTTTCAAATTCCACGATATCAAGAGCAGTGCGCCTCTTCTCAAGTACCTGTCCGAGGACATCGGCGGTGATGAGTACACTCCCGCTCTTCAGTACTGTCGAAACCCCATATCCCCGAGTCTCAACATCTCCGACGCTAGATACTGCTCTTCTGTATACACCTCCGCACCTTAAGTTCCAAGCTGACATACTTCCAGACTGCACCCCCAAGGCCGTCTCTCACCGTCTCAGCAACATCCGCAAAGGCGGCACTACTAATGCCAACGGCGGTGCCGTTGCATCGCCTACTCGCACCGCTTCCACGCCAAAGACTCCTCGTTCGCGTGCCAAGGCCACCCCGCGTAAGAAGAAGGACGTTTCCGAGGAGGTCGACAGCGATGGTCCTCAAGGTCTTATGAAAGATGACGATGTCCTCTCACCAGCTGCTGCTCGTGGAAAACGCACGCTCAACGGCAAGCGAAAGCCCACCTATGATGAGACAAGCGACAAAGAGGAGGAGGACCTTGAGGTGGAGGATGTGTATGTTCCGATGGCTAAGCGTGTCAAGGAAGAGCCGGTTGAGGACGAGGGCATCATCGTCGAAGAGCTCGTTGACGAAGAGGTTTAGTCACTTCCCTGACTACCTTGTTTGGTCACGCAGGTTCTGCGACGCTGAGTATCTTTTCCAGTGAAGAGTTCGAGGAAAAGTATCACGATTTGCTTTCCGGCGTTCGGTGGTTGGACTGCTTTGGATGTGTGGACTGGTAAACTACTTCGGCGTTGAGCATCGGGAGTTTGAGCTGGCGTTATCTACGATGAAGTAGTCGCGAGGCTGCATGTATCTCACTTGGGGGCCGAAACGGTCTGCATAGTAAATGCGTATGCATCAATGACCAACACTTCACTACCATGAACCAGTATCTTTCTGAATGCATCTCTCATATGCACAAATAATAACTACGGCAACTATGGTCGAATGCTACGATTCTTGGAATCGTGCAGCGACGATGCGCATCTGTGGTAGGTCGGCGATCGCTTACGGGTACGAAAGTGCGCAACTTGGAAGACGACAGCTTCATTGTAGCCCCCAAGTGCACTGCAATTCCTAGCGCCCACGAGTGTGTAAGCAAAGAAGCTTGAGCGGACGTCTGACCGCAGTGCACTGCGATTTCTAGCGCGGACAGTCTTGTGGTGGAAGCGCTTTCATGGCCAATCGGCTTACCAGGCCAAGAATGCGCCGAGCACATCCCGCTGGTGTAGCGGCATACCCGATGCTCGGGAATCCCGATGCACTGCAATCTTTAGCGTAGAAGAGGTTGTCGCATAGCCTGCCCTAGAGAGCTGGTGATAGGCCCAACACAAGATCTTTGAGCTGACGGGTGACACTGCATATCCCAGCGCACACGAGCCTGCATGTACCCAGGTGAGCGACAGTCTCGAACCCGACTAACGTGCACTGCAATATTTAGCGGGAAAGAGCACTTGAGGGGACGCTAGCAGGTTGTACAGTATTGAACAATCGTTCTGACTGGTGTGCACTGCAATCTCTAGCCTGGACGAGTGGTCAGATTACGCCTCTTGTGATTAGTGTTGGCTACCGTGGACCAGTGACTTGGACGTATGAGACTGCAGCATTCTACGTAGGCGCAAGAAAAGGGTTCATAGGTGTTGCACTATTGTAATTCATGATTCTTGGACTGGACTTTGTCATGTTTTCTCATAGCAATATGCACAAACGACTGCGCTCATCAGACCGTCATACGGCTTCTCTACCTTAATCATTCGTATAGTTCCTTAACCATCTAAAGATGTATTCGTATAGATCCCGTTTGACACTTCTGCACACCACGCGCTTTACGTCCCGTCTTTCCAACCATGCGTACCCATTCTCGCCAACCCCGTCGCACGTCGAGGTTTTGCCGAACCCCACTCTTGCATCGAACCCGAGAGCTCCGCCATCCGCTTGCTGTATGGCTTCCTTCTCGCAACGGCTAGCGGCGTACAGATCCTTCCATCATTCCCATCTTGTCGTCGTTCTACCCTCCCGCCTGGGTAACAGGTCTGTCTTAGAGTTTGCGGCGCTGACGCTATCTCCGTAGCGTACCGCGCATCTGAAGAATCAACTCTGCACCCTATGTCTCCATCTGGTCGAGAAACTTCGAAGCCATAGCTGCAAAATTCCTGAGGCCCATGGCATCTGTTCCCGGACGGTACCTCGCCGTGAGTCGTATGTACGCATTTTCGTGAGACACATCGAGCTTCCCACCACGTACATCCATCAGCAGGCGGCTGAAAACATCATCTTCGATTTGCTTCGCTAGCCTGACGAGCTCCTCGCTGTCAAGCGGTATGAAGTCATTCCAGAACGGCGCTGTGCCCATGCTCTGGTAGACTTCAATGAGCGCATGCTGAAGGGCTTCGTCGTGCTTGAGGTGGGATACCAAGGTGTTGGCCTCCACAAGCTTGTCGTAAAACTCAACGAGAGTACCGCTGCGAAGATTGTTGGCGAGTTTGATATCGTATGGCTTGACCGACATAGGCTCTTTGAGGATGGCCAGATCGGCGTCCATGAGCATGTCGCTATACGCCACTAGCGGACAAGGTGCCATCGAGGAGGGGATTTGTATACCAGCGCTTGGGAAGGAGAATGGGCTGTTACTTGTCACCGGCGCATTGCCGCCATGGTCAGCGCTCGAAGACCTTGACGCCGATCGATAGCGGTACCGGCACGGCCACGGGGAACGGCGACGAAAGCTCCTATCTGCTGGGGAGACTGCGACCGGGTGACTCGTCTACTCTGCCTCAAGATCTCACGAACGGACCGCTGGTGTCTATGGATCAGCGCGGGGAAGTTGCTGCTATACTTGAAGCTGCTCCACATCTCCTGCCGACCAGTTGAGTACTCATTGAGTATGAGCGATGGGACCGAAGCCAATTGCCTCCTTATGACCTTTCGATCTATGCCTCGAAGAATGTCGAATTCTGCGTAGCGCGCCATATTGATCAGCTGGCTCTCAGGAAGGCGGGTCCGGGATGAAGTTTGGGCTGGGTTCCTCGACTTGAGAGCGCAGTACAAGCCGACTAAAGTCTTAAAGCGAAAGTCTTCATTGATGCAGAGAAGACGTGTCGATTGCTGACGTAGCGGCCGAAGTTCCCTCAACTCCTCATCCGACAGTGCGCCTTCTTCAGCTTGAGCAGCGGCCTGGGCGGAGACCGTCTCTTCGTTAAGCGTAGGCGCGCTTTGTTCCGCTGGTCTTGCTGACGATGTAGATACGTTTGGGGGAGAGCTCTCATTAGTCGCCTGGGCTGTTGGCTCTGCGAAAGATGCAGTATACACAGGCTGGTAGGAAGTCTTGGAGCTGTTAGAAAGAAGCGAAAGGGTTGTGATGACGAACTGACCGATACGTCTTGCTCTTCGGACACGGAGGCTACAGGCGCCACATGCACATCTTCCACATCTCTTTGAAGGGTGACAAACTAGATCTGGTCAGCAAGGGGCCCTACAAGCTAGAATGACGGAGCTCTACGTCAGTCTGCGTCTCAGATGGGACATTTGTTGCACAATCTTCACTGACTTTGAGACCACATGTAGGCACCGTTGGAGTTTCGCGATCTGGTGCAGCATGATGCGCAGGTGCGCGGCTTTGCAGTAGTAGGATGAGCAAGGACTTTATCTCCTGTTGCTCAGTCTTGAGCTGGTCGATGCTTGCTTTGACCGCGTCAAGGTCAGCCTTGGTAGCAAGTCCTACGGTTCCATGGGCGACCGTATCGCCGACCCTCTGTAGAGGCACAGAAGCAGGCATTGTCGACTGGCTAGACGAAGAAGACATTGTGAAGCGGTGGTTATGGGATTGAAGTGAGAAGTCGTGCCGAGCGCGCTTTGGTAGTGAAGACTTTGAGATGAAGGTTGAAAGCTACAATAGTCTAATTGCAGTGGTTGAGCTGGTCGATGGGTGTTAAAGTCTTTCATCGGGCGGCTGGCCTGCGTTTATATACTCCTAGGGAGCCGCTGAGCCCATCATGTGATGACTCCCTTCGTGTGGTGAATGGCTGTGGCGCTGCTTAAGATCGTGGTCCGTGTAGACGCAACCATGGCATTTGTTGCAGCTGAAGTGAATGATATATGGCCGGAAGTTCGAGAACGTGTTGATGTCGAATGCCTGTATGTAGAAAATATCGCGCTGTTTTCTCATCACATGGACGTATATCATGCGAAAAGATAGTGAAAGTAGGGTTACTATAATGAATTCGCATTGCTATAGCGTTGCCCATATATAGAACAGAGTGAAGCTTGCGAGCTTCAGAAGGTGGCAGTATTAATTTGGATAGTTGTAGGATTGAGGAGTTCTAGTCACATGTTTTGTATGATGGCAATGTGAACAAGCCGCGAGCACAAGTGTTTGTGGCTTGTCATTGTCTATCCCGGACAAACCTCGCATCCCTCATCCAAAAAGCAATGGCCTACAGCTTCCTGATCATCAGCTCAGCCCGTAAAAGTGCGTTGATTCCAGAATGCTCAGGAGCACCGAACCAGCTGCCTCCATCTACCTTCACCACTGCACACTTTTCCCTGTACTCGCTCTCCACCGCTGACCCTCGGACGTACCGCAGAGGCAGAGGTCCCTCTTGCCACTTTCCATTCCACTTCTCTTCAACGTTCTCAATTCCAGGAAGAACCAGATGCCTGCAGGTCCAGCAGGCCTAGCAATCTGTATTGCTGGCTCGAGGATAACAGCCTTAGAGTTGAGATGGATGATGAATGAGTGCTTATTGACGAGATCGAAGCCTTGCGCGACGGTCGAGTTAGCGAAGCTGATGAGTGGCTCAAGATCTGTCAGTAGAGTCTTGCAAGCCGGTGTGTACCGTACGTCTTGAACAAAGAGGGTGACAATGTTTCCCTGTATCTGGGCTAGGGTTCGGGCGACATCCATAGCTGCGAGGTGTTGGATGAATCCCCGCTCATACGTCGGTCCAGGAAAAAGAGGACCGAGATCGAAGCAAATGACTCGGGTCACTGGCTTCATGCTGTGCGCATTCTGGCGCAGGGTCTGTAGAAGATCGACACGAACGGCGCTTCCTTCCCACTTGTTAGTCCAGCTTTTAAGAAGAGGGCGCATGAACTTCTGCGCGTTGTCGAGAGGAATGGTTTGGACTGCGCTACCCCAGTGAATGTCGAGAAAGAATGGACAGCTTCGTTGCATCTCTTTCATTGCCCGGAATTGCAGTGGGCGGAAATGTGGTAGATCTGCACGTCCCTCTGGCATCGCGACAGGATCTTGACAGGCGAGGTCCATGCCGGTATGGGCATTGATCTGTAGAAGGTCTCCGGATCTGAGCTCGAGCTCTGCTGTCGTGCCGTTCTGCTCGAGAGTAAGAATTGCTCTTCTGACGTATGAGACTAATGTGAAAGAGGTCTTGATGCCATACAAGTCAGGAAGATGTGCTGAACCGTTTAGGCGAAGAGAAGAGTACTGTTGGCGAACTTCAATCAGTCGCTGTGGTGTATGAATTGGCCTGCCAGCCCCTCCACTGGTCGCGTAGACCCGCGCGAAGTCGAAAGGTTGGCGGTAGGGAAATTCGGGAGAAGCCATTTCTGTCTTCCAATGTTAGCGATGGAGGGGAAAGTGTAGTTAACAAGCAGCGATGCAGCAAAAGAGCTATTTATATTAGTGGTGATCAACAACCTACTTTCGCGAGGCTCCTTCACGTCGAGTAAGGTGGACATTCGGTGTCGCTATTGTGTACAATAGCTTTGCGACAATACCTACCGATCGGGTTGCACGACGTACTCACGGTCACAGCCAGTTTTGCACAGACCAGACCACGCTAGGCGCCTTTGTAGAAGTGCGCGTTGTCGGCACCAGTTTACGGAAGGCTTCGCTGGGCTCAGACGTGGGTAAGTACAGTTCTCAGCACCTACGAGCTGTGATTTCTGCTGCTTACAGGAGATCGTGTATGTATGATCGAGGCAACGTCGTTGAATTAGTAAATCCCAAGGTTAGGAAAGAGACTGGGAGGCAACGCCCGAAAACAGGATGTAGCCTATTGTAGGTTCAGCTTCATATTCGCTTCCCGACGGCCGCAGCATCGCCAACCCTATAGCCAAATTTTAGCAAGTCCTGCTCTTCAATCTGGGCTTTCTTCTCGAGTAACTCGTCAACATCCCACGTCGCACCCAGTAACCGACCATTCAACCACATCCGCTTTTCACTGCTTAACCACACGCAAAACGCGCCACCAAGACCAACATCATCTGTGAGGTCTAGAGAGTCAGAAAAAATACCACGATCATGCAGGGATGCACTTACGAGATCGGAAGCTGTCAGGTGTAGTCTTATCCGCCATCTCAGTATTCACAGCCCCAGGATGCACAGCAACCGCTAGTATGCCATCCGCACCGTACTGTTCCGACAAGAATTCGATAAGACGTGCCTGCGCAAATTTCGAGATGCAATACGCAGTATTCGCAATGTGTCCGTTGGTGATGCATGCTGCAAAGGAGTTGATGGCGATAAACGTCTTCGCGCCATCACTCTCCTTCAGCAGCGGAATGAAGTAGTGCGCAACAAGATATGTGCCTTGTACATTCACGTCGAATACATCTTGGAAATCTTGCGGATTGCCTTGGTCGACTTTCAACACTACCGGTCCTGAGTACCCCGAATTGACGATCACAACGTCCAGCCTTTCCACTTTTTCTTTCACGTTCCTCGCAAGTTGCGCAACGCTTTCGTTGGATGTTATGTCGAATTCCAGGCTATTAATGGTTGTCGAAGAGTTGAGGGTTTGAGCTTGTTTGGCGACTGCTGCTAGCTCTTGGGCTGAAGATGACCTTGCTGCTAGGATAAGACACGCGGCACCCGCTTGTGCATATGCGTATGCGATTCCGGCTCCGATGCCGCGAGATGCGCCGATTATGAGGACGTTGAGCGGCTTTGGTAACTTCTTGGAGGCTGGGTCTAAGGCGGGGGTTGGTTTCTTATGTATAGTCTTTGTGAAGCCGCTGGCGAGCGTAGTATCTCTTATTCGTTGCGACATGGTTTTATTCTGAGCGGATCAAGGAGAAGATATTGTGGAAATGTAGTGCGACTCGTTCTCGATATAAAGGTACGCCTTATCTGGCCCAAAGAGGCTTGGTCGAAATGAGTCATTCTGAGCATACACGATACATGCTAGCCTCTGTCTATCTTTGTCGTTGCTCGCGGTCACTTTTTGCATCAAGATGATGAAGTAGTGAACAGCAAATTCGTGTCACATGAGGTGGAATCTGGGTACGGTCGTAGATCTGGCAGCGACCCCGCAGGCGTCGCATCTTACTCAGCACAGAGAGCTTTCCAAAGCTTGACCACGCCTAAGCAACGCGCACTTTTACCCTAAGAACATAATACTGTCAGCAGTCCAGCCTCCAGGATCACTAACAACGCTGGTGATGCGTTTGAGAGCGGAGATGGGTATATGACGCGAGGTCATAACATGCTTAGCGCGACGGGCATGTGGGTCCAGCACCTGACGCGTCAAAAACCATGACGAACATTCCTCTTTCGAGCAGACCTGGACACCAACACTCCATCTCACCACTCTGCAAGCTCCGGCAACATCATGTACCAGAATGTGCTGCGGCAGTAATCATCGATTTATAAGCCCAAGTACGCCCTTTGGACGGCATCGGGACAGGAGACATCCGTAAGCACCGTTCCGATGCAGCTAGGCAAGCGGTGTAGTAAGATACGCGAGCCAGACCTTTGACGACATTATGGTTGGAAATGTGTTTCTAGGAGCCGCGAAATATAAAAACGAAGCTGCAAGCTGCATCGGTAAGATCACTTCTCGCATACCAGGCATCGACTGCATCACACCCTGAGTATTTCAACATGACACGCACCCTTATCATCTTCGGCGCCGGACCGGGAATTGGCAACCACGTTGCTGCTGAGTTTGCGTCCAAAGGCATTGATCATGTCATCCTTCTGTCGCGCAACACGGAACGTCTCGAGAAGGAAGATGCGCCTTTTGTCAGCAAAAGTAGCTCCTCTGTCAAAGTCGACACTCTGCGCATCGATCTCGCAGACACAAAATCCATCCCAGATGTACTCAAACAGCTAGACAGCATGACCGCCGGCGAAGACGTAGAAGTCGTCTTCTTCAACGCTGCTCGCGTAAAGCCGAACGATGTTCTAGGCGTCAGCGTGGAGGAGATTGAGGAAGACTTCAAAGTAACGATTCCCTCTTCGACAACATCATTTCGGGACAGACGCTAACGGAGATATGTAGACCACGAACCTAGCCCTCTACGTCATAGCACAGCACTACATCCCCAGACTCCAGAGCCTGGCCAAGACAAACTCGTCGCTCAAGCCCGTTCTTCTTGTTACGAACAGCCGCCTGCCGTGGGATCCTGTGCCGCAACTCCTTTCGCTGAGTCTGGTGAAGGCTTCGCAGAAGAATATGGTGGAGAGCTTTAATCGTGCGTTCAGTGATAGTGGTGTGCACATTGGGCTGGTTTATGTCGAGGGAGTCGTAGCGCCGGAGAATAGGGTGCTGAACCCCAAGACGATCGCTGAGAGGACTGTGAAGTTCTGGGAAGATGGAGAGGGAGTTGGCGTTCACATCAAGGAAGAGTAATGATAGCATGAAAAGCTAGCTTGTTTAAAGAGATACTGCCATGCCCACTCAGGCTGCTCGAAATGTCTTCTCCACACCCTCACTCCATCACCATCACATCCTCATCACGCTTCCTTTCCTCCGCCCGCCCCTCCAATCCTTCCGGAAACATCCGAACCAACACCGCAGTCTCTTCCATGAACCTGTTCTTCGTCAGTCTCTCCTTGCTCCATCAACTCAGACCACCAAGTTTCTCAACTAACCTCCGTCTATGTCTAGGTTCCTTGGGAAAAAGCGCACAATCATGCAGACAACTCCTCCTACAGACATCAGCACCAAAGCCTCCAGCACACGCGACCCGTCATGAAGAGAAGGGGGGGGGGGGGGGGGGGGGG